TGGTAGATGGTACATTGGGCTGGAACATTTTGAACATTATGGAAGAAAGATGATTTACTAAAACTGATTTGATAGAAGTCACATGTACACACGCGCGCACACACACACACACACACACACACTACTAAAAGTGAACCTGGGAAATACCACAGCTGAGCAGTATGATAAATCAACAGAGCTTGCGGCTCATTGAATGTGACCAAGTCTCAAGGGGATGGAAGGCACAATACTCCAGTGAGTGGGGTGGCAAGTACACACAGTGAGAACCCAGAGGCCTTTTCACAATTTCTCATGCCAACGTCTACCCTGAAAAACTTGTTTTTGGAGCAGAGGGGCGTGTTGGAGTTTGGTGTCGACTCAAGTTGGAATAAATCTTTCTCCAGTTCCACCTGGGTTTGTGTGCTTTTGACCACAACAGGATGTGGAGATGTCCATGTTTAATGTTGGTGGCGTGTGGAGGACGAATGCCTTATAAATTGTCAACACTTGTGTTTTCTTAATCACCCTAAAGCAGTGCTGCTTGTCTTGGTTGTATTGTAGATCATACAGTGCATTCGGAAAGTATTCAAACCCCTTTTTCCACACTTTGTTACGTTACAGCCTTATTCTAAAATTGATTAAATAAATACAAATCCTTATCAATCTACACACAATCCCCCTTGATGACAAAGCCAAAACAGTTTTTATTTTAGTGTGCAAATGTATTTAAAATAAAAAAACAGAAATACCTTATTTACATAAGTATTCAGACCCTTTGCTATGAGACTCAAAATGTAGGTCCCACAGTTGACAGTGCATGTCAGAGCAAAAATCAAGCCATGAGGTCGAAGGAATTGTCCGTAGAGCTCCGAGACAGGATTGTGTCGAAGGCACAGATCTGGGGAAGGGTACCAAAACATTTCTGCAGCATTGAAGGTCCCCAAGAACACAGTGGCCTCCATCATTCTTAAATGGAAGAAAATTGGAACCACCAAGACTCTTCCTAGAGATGGCCGCCCGGCCAAACTGAGCAATTGGGGGAGAAGGGTCTTGGTCAGGGAGGTGACCAAGAACCCGATGGTCACTCTGACAGAGCTCCAGAGTTCCTCTGTGGAGATGGGAGAACCTTCCAGAAGTACAACCATCTCTGCAGCACTCCACCAATCAGGCCTTTATGGTAGAGTGGCCAGACGGAAGCCACTCCTCAGTAAAAGGCCCATGACAGCCCGCTTGGAGTTTGCCAAAAGGCACTTAAAGGACTCTGACTATGAGAAACAAGATGCTCTGGTCTGATGAATCCATGATTTAACTCTTTGGCCTGAATGCCAAGTGTCACATCTGGAGGAAACCTGGCACCATCCCTACGATGAAGCATGGTGGTGGCAGCATCATGCTGTGGGGATGTTTTTCAGCGGCAGGGACTGGGAGACTAATCAGGGTCGAGGGAAAGATGAACGGAGCAAAGTACAGAGAGATCCTTCATGAAAACCGGCTCAAGAGTGCTCAGGACCTCAGACTGGGGTGAAGGTTCACCTTCCAACAGGACAACTACCCTAAGCACACAGCCAAGACAACGCAGGAGTGGCATCGGGACAAGTCTCTGAATGTCCTTGAGTGGCCCAGCCAGAGCCCGGACTTGAACCCCATCTAATATCTCTGGAGAGACCTGACAATAGCTGTGCAGCGACGCTCCACAACAAACCTGACAGAGCTTGAGAGGATCTGCAAAGAAGAAAGGGAGAAACTCTCAAAATACAGGTGTGCCAAGCTTGTTGCGTCATACCCAAGAAGACTCGAGGCTGTAATCGCTGCCAAAGGTGCTTCAACAAAGTACTGAGTAAAGGGTCTGAATACTTATGTAAATGTGATATTTCAGTTTGTAATTTTTAAAAAATTTGCACAAAAAAAAGAACCTGCTTTTGCTTTGTCATTATTGGGTATTTTGTGTAGAATGATGAGGGGGGGAAAAAATCCATTTTAGAATAAGGCTGTAACATAACAAAATGTGGTGAAAGTCAAGGGGTCTGAATACTTTCCAAATGCTCTGTAATGCCAGTTGAATCAGAGTAGAAAGGCACCTAAATCCTAATTCCCTGTGATAAAGTTGCTATTACAAAGTCATGTGGAGATATTACTTTCTCAGGCTATCAATTCATAAGAGCCTTAAAATAAATGTAGAAGCTAAAACAAACCATATCTGTAAATATGCTTCATGGCAGTAAAAAAAATGTATATTTATATTTAGTAAAACTGAAATATTCAACAAGTTGAGACCAATTAGTTCCTGAACACCCATAATATATAATTGCATAATAACCTATTTTAGTACTTCAAAGTATCAACATATAAAGTACTGAGTCAACGGGAAGGGGCCCGCTAAAGAGGACTGTGGTCTTTTCACTGTGTTATTTCCAAATTAAGCCAGAGCTTTGTTTTTAAGTTTCTTAAACGTTCACTGTAGCATGGAGGAGCAAAGTTGTCTCTACCGTATGCAAACCGGAGTATTCTCATGAAAAGCAAGCGTTGCGTGGAATTCTTCCAAAGGGGACAGGAAATGGGGGGATGGGGGGCGTACAAGCTGGGATTGAAGTCCCATGGGAATTGCAAACTTGACGGTTCCAGACGTTTGGCACAACACTTTGGAGGGATACATGCTGTTCACACAGAGGAGGAATAGGAAAACCCTCCTCAACCCCCACCCGACCCCAAAATAACACAATTGACCCCATGTGCGTAAGCTTCCCATGAATACGTCAAGAGCAGTACATTTTTCCATAATTTGACTCACTCCAGACTGTGGCTGTTTTATTGTTATGGATTTATGAGCATTTTGAGATGTGTGCATTCATTGTCCACAGGGAGACAGTCACTGGCATGCAATATGGGCCTACTCCACCAAACACAACAACGTGTACACCAGAAAGCTCTCTGTGTCATATCTCCATCAGACACATACCAAGAGGTCGATGTCAGTCTGCTCATCCAAATATACAATAATGTCACTGATGCCGAGAAAATGCTAAGGTACATTGTTCATGAGAGTAAATAAAAAAAATCGTATTTTCCCCCAATGGCTGGCCCTGAAAATATTTGCATATTTGATAATTACATATTTTCCAAGGGAAAAGAAGATGACATGACAATGTTGTGCAAATTTAAGGGCTGATTTCCCAGACACAGATTAAGCCTAGTCCTGGATTTATGAGCGCTTTAAATTGGGATTCTCAATTAAGAATGCTTTTTAGTCCAGGACCAGGCTTAATCTGTGTCTGGGTAAATTAACTTTTTTTTAATGATGGTTAATGTTTTCTGCGGCTGACTCCTCCAGAATAGCAGCTCAGACAGGAGTTTAGAAGGATTCAACTGACGTAGAGACAAGACAGTGATCAAGCAGGAATGTTAGTATAATACTGAATACACAGAGGAGCCCCCAGCTGATGGCAGTACTACAAGTCCTAGGTGCCTTCAAATCCTGACCTATTTTAACCCCTTAAAAAGGTCCAATGCAGCCATTTCTATCTCTATATCAAATAATGTCTGGGTAACAACCTTACTGTGATTGTTTTCAATTAAAATGCAATTATTTTTCTAGGACTGTCTGGGAGTGATCTGAGTGGGGAGGGGAAAACTGAAAATCTGCTGTTGGTGGCAGATAGGTTTGGAACTCTTTCTTATTGGTCTGCTAACTAATTTACCGCCTGGTGACGTTACCAGGCAGGTCAAAACTCCCCACCAAAACAGGCTGAAATTTCAGGCTGTCTTTTCAAACAGCTCTTACACTAAAGGGCATTATCATTTTCACAATATTATTCCAACCTCATAGTGTGGAAATATATATAAAAAACTGGAAATTCATGTGTTTGACTGCACTGGGCCTTTAAGAAGATCAGGGACGCTATATATACATAAGGAGCAGGTACCTTCACTTCATATAGATTTAAGAGGATTAGTGGTAAAAAATCAATGTTAATTAAAGTGTTCTTTATTTACCTTTATGGCCTATAAGCAGTAGGCCTATTTGCTACTATTCAGATTCCGCCCAAAGAAAATAAAACATATTTTCAAGGTTCCAAAAGCCAACAGCAACAATTTATGACGATTTGGGAGGGGCAACACTCAAAGTAGGCTCGTCTTTAGCTGAGGACTAAATATAAAACCTAAAACAAACACTACCGGAGTAGGATTTCGTAATGATATTTTTCTAGTGTTCATTCCTGGGCTGCTGTTGCCGATTGATTCGTTGCCAGGGGGATCGTGAGGAAGTTCATGAGCAGTTCTGGGATCAGGCCTAAATAACACTCCCTCTATCCTGAACGGCAAAAACTAAAGGCATTCCTGTCATAAAAGAGCTGGGTGCAGACCATGATTTCCCAATACGGTATGGAATCAGTAGCCTGAATACCCACTACCTCAGCATTCACATACATGTTTTAAGAATAAGTCACTCTTATAAGTTCTTCAGCAGCCAACATGCCTGAAACTCAGTGACACAACCATATTAAACCAATAATAGGTTATGGCAGTTTTTTCCCCCGTCTGTTTGAGATCCTCTGTGTAAGAGAGGGACCATTATGGTTCTTTCCCATCTAGACTTACCTCCACACCAGGGTGTGCCTAGCCTGATGACTCACACTTTCTTCTACCGCTGCTCTGTCGTTCGCTACATAATTTAGTCTGAGACTGCAATGTCAGAGCAGGTCCACCGGAACCATGGCCCAGTGAATCACAGGTGCCGGCCCACGTAGATGGGAACAGAATAGTCTGAGGCTTTTGGGTAAAACACTGGAATAAATCCTCAGTGGAAATGCGCCATTAGCAAAAGAGTTCTGTGATGGATGATGACCTGACTTCCTGGAGCCAAGAGATGTCAGGATGGAAGGAAATGAGTCATATAGGGATCATGTTTAGTAGGAAACACTAGGATGACAGGGTGATGACATACTACCACAGAGACGCCTGCCCGCCCTACCGCCTTGGCTGCCCACCAAACTACGAGAAACACTGGTCAGTTACTGGTTGATCACATATCGCCTTTATTAAATACTTCACAACCTCCCCTATAGTGAACGGTTACAAAATGGTACCTCTCGTCAAACAGGACACTGTACAATTTACAAAGCAGTCACTTTTTGCAAAGGGCAAAACAATTTTAAAAAACGAGATGCTTGTGTAGCCAGGTCACCCCAGACTTTTCATACCGCTATGGAATTAAGTGAGTTTATTTTATTTGTTTGAACCTTAAACAAAACAAAAATGTCAGTGTCCGTTTCTCCTCTCCTTTCACGGCTACAGGCTGCATCCCACTTAAATGCAGGCGGGAAATCTCATCAAATTATTCAATTTAACTGTCATGTGACATAGGGAGGAGACAGGAGAGGCAGATATAAGTATAAAAAATAAATTAAAATGATCATATCTCACGTGACAGACAGACACTCATGACAGTTGTGGTTTTTAATTGTACAGTTCTGCCTCAGTGGCAGAGAGGTGCGAGTGGAACCTCAAGCAGGGGTGTGTGGGGTGGTGGGACCAACATGGCCGACATAGTCATAGGCTTCACCCCGACACACAACAAACAGACAGAAGAGGCTAGAGATAACACAGTGCTGAAAGAGCAGAGGGCTCAAATATTTAAAAAGAAGACAGCCGACAGAGAAAGACTGGCAGTTAACAGAAGGACAGCGCAAAGAAATGACTTCAAATCAAGCAAACAGTTGTATTCATATGTAATAACACTACAGGCAGAGGGAGTGGTAGTGAATGTTCTCTATGTGTTATCTTTGCCTGTGATTGGACTAGAAAATATACAATGATTGACAAGAATTCTTCTGATGGCGACACAGTGGAAGTTAGTGACGTGAAAGGGTTGGTGGGCTTTGGACAGAACGGTTGATAAAGGGGGAGCTTGGAGACTGGAGTTACAAACAAATGCAAAGGAAAATTAACAGGACTAGGAGGACAGCCCATTTAAATCTGTGGACTCATGTTTTTCTTGTCCTACAATTGTTTTCTCTTAAAGTAGGGAGTGACTCTCATAAAGGGAATACATTATTTATACATCTGTTTGTTTTAAAATAGAGGTCTCTCTTTCCCAGACTCCGACATATCCCTCCCACACCCTCCCTCCCCGGCCCCAAAGTCTGTTATAGAATCTGATTAGCAAACACTGCAGGTGTGACGCCTGACCAACACGTTGAAACATTCACCTTCTGTGGCCAGTCCAGCTTCCGCCTCAGTGCGCGTGTCTAAAACAACGTTCGACCAGCCAGGTGGATATGCTCAGATATCACTGGCAAAAGGGTGATGCCGTGGGGTCAAAGCCTTTGAAAACCTCCTTCAGAGAGGCATTGTCCTGCTCCGTGGTGGTGGTGGTGTCGCCAGGCTGGGCAGGGCTGTTCCCACCAAAGGGGCTGCCGGAGCCGCTGGGCTTGCTGGCCTGTTTCACCATGCTGAAGAGCGAGGACACAGGCAGGTTGTGGACGCCCGCCGGGGTCTGCTCAGCAGCACCAGGGGGGCCCTGTCCGGCCGTGGAGGAGCCAGAGGCAGCAGCAGGACATCCGGGGGGCCCGGTGGACGGCGAGGGTGCAGGTTTGGGCCTGGGCCGGTTATAGCTGTTGTAGCGGTCAGTGGACTGCTCGCTGCTTTTCTCTGGCTCCGGCTGGTCCAGGGCAGACTTACGGACAAATAGGGGCTCCTTAGCCTTGGGCTTGGCTGGCGCCGCCTCACTGGGTTTAGGCTCTGTGAGGCCGCTGCTGGGGGTTGTGTTTGTGGCGGCACCAGGGCCCTCAATTTTACCTGCACTTGGAGTCCGGGGGTCATATAGACTGATACCACTTAGCACACTGCTGCCACCAGCTGCACCCGCTCCCCCTCCACGGCTCACCCCACCTGCACACAGTAGCCGAGGGTCGTAGGGGGCGATGGTGGGGGAGGAGGAGCCGGCAGTGGATGGAGGTGCTGCCGGGGAGACCGTCAGAGGGGGGATAGGGGACTCTGAAGGCTGCTTCAGGGAAGATTTCTGCGGCTGGAGTCGTGGGTCAGCGGGGGCTTTGCGGGCCATTCGAGGATCGACGGGCTTGTCGACAGGGGTGGGCAACAAAGCAGGAGGCGCCGGCAACAGGGCTGGTGGAGGGACGAGGGGGAGAGGAGGGGACGACTGGGAGGGGCCGGATGAGGCGTTAACAGTCTTGAGGATGCGAGAGAGCAGCTCAAAGTCTGGGAGGGAGGAGGAGGAGGCTGGGGGTTCTAAGGAGGGAGGGGGGACGGGCGGGGTAGGGGGGAGGGCCTTGTGGATCCGCTGCTGGCTGCGTGAGAGGCGGGCGTCCAGGGTTGAGACAGGAGGGATGCCTGGGGGGAGGGGGAGGAGGTCCTGTTTAGGGATGGGGATGGGGATGAGGTCCTCAGGGTTCCATGTCACTGTCTTAGCGTAGGGGGGCATGTGCAGGAGAATGTCCTTCTTGATGTGGCTGAACTGCTTCAGCTGGGAGCGTGGGTCCCTCAGAGCCATGCCCATCAGGGGGTCCAGGGGGATGGGCACAGGCTTGTCCCTCAGAACCCTCTCCGTCTCCTCCTCCTCTGCAGGGGGAGCCGTGAGGGGCGGGGGCTTGTACACCAGGGGGGCGTCTGGTTTAGGGGTGAGAGTGGCGGTGGCGGCAGCGAGCCGTGCCAGGCGGGGGTCTGCAGGGGCGACGGTGGAGGCCGAGGAGGGGTTGGGAGAGTCCAAGGCCTGGGCAGAGTCTGTGGCCCGGGAGAGGCGGGGGTCGCGAGCCATCCGGGGGTCCCCCTGACGGGGGTCCGCTGGTCGGATGGGGGGGTGCGCTGGGGAGCCTTTCTGGAGGCGGGGGTCGCTGGGGGGGCCCTCAGGTTTGGGAGGGCCCTGGCTCTGCTGGCGGAGCGTCTTCAGGATGGATGTGACACTGCCGCCTCCATCCTCATCCTCACTGGAGTACCAGTTAGCGGAGTCACCTAGGAGATAAAGCAACAGGAATCAGTGATGACAACCAGTTTAGAAACCACAACTAGTTCAAAAACCACAACCACCGAAAACTGATTTCCTAGTGTTTTTACAGTCTTTTATTTCCAACAATGAAAATCCCCCCCCATTTTTTTTTTGCTCAGAAAACTTAGGGGCCAAATAAAACCACCCACGGGCTAAATTCGGCCCGCGGGCCGCCAGTTGGGGAACCCTGACCTAAATCAATGTCAGAGCCCAACATAATTAGTAAAGTATCTCACACACCAACAGCTCCACCTAGTGAGGGTGTAGAGGCCCATTGGAGTCACTAATCTGATCCATGGGACTTTATTACGCAACCAGAGCCCAGAGGATGTTGACTCTGCTGAGGGGTTACAGTGGGGGTCAACGGTGTCATACAGCCATTTCCTGCCTCCTCGGGACACATATACATTTCTAACCAAACAAAAGGAGACAGGAACACTGTACATTTTCCACAGGCAAGCACTTTTCGGGGCTAAAATCATTTAATTTATTAATCATACCATCAGCTTTATCTGCGTCCTAAATGGCACCCTATTCCCTTTATAGTGCACTACCTTTGACCAGGGCCCAGCCAGGGACGTAGCATATGCCCTCGACTCAACCTATTTGATGTGCTTTATGTAGCCTATACGGGGGAGTGCGACATCTAGCCAGTATTTATATGGTGTCTGTATGAATATAGCATAGTCCTCCATTGTTTGCCCTGCCAATGCACTGTTTATACTGTGTCAGTGGGAATTGTTTGTTTTGTCTATGGAGAATTGAGATGGTGCCTGCAGTAATTTCCCATGGTGGTGCGTGCCAGGTTTACCAGGCCCAGTAGAAGTGTTTATGTTATTGTATGTGCTGGCTTGTCATTATATTAGCGTCTAAGCAGAATAGACATCAATACAGTGTCTACAGCAGGGGTGTGCAATAACTTCGGCTCGAGGGTCACATCGGGATTTCAAAATTCATCGGCGGGCCGCACAGATTTGTTTTCGGACAGATTTGTTCGTCAAAAGCAATTTGCAGCCCAGAAAAATTGCAGTTATTTGAAAACATATAGGTCCCATTATAATTCCGACATACTGTACTTTCTATCTAGTTTTAGACATTCAAGAGTGGGTGGCCTAGAGTGGTGCAGCGGTCTATGCTGCTGCCTCCAGTGTACCGCTACAGGGGGGTCATACCAAGGATCATTTAGAATTTTTGGATTTTATATATATAAAAAAACGCATTGATGAAAAATTCAACGTATGTTGCCCACCCCTGGACTACAGTGTGTGTGTGTGTATAGAGCGTACCTTCCGCGTCCCTCTCTCCTCCCCCCTTGGCCAGCCTGGACCTCTCCTCGTCCTCCTGCTGTTTCTGCTGGATTCTCATGAACAACATGCGCTGGGCCGGCGGCAGGAAGTCGGGCATGCCCATCCCTGCCTGCTGATTGGCCGAGCCTCCGTTTGCAGGGATGTCCGGGCCTCCCATGGAGCTCTGGTTTCCTCCCGATCCTCTTCCTTCTTTCTCGTCCATCCCTCCAAAGCCCTGGAAGTCATCACCTGGAAGGTACAGGAGGAGGGTTGATAACTACAACACTCTATAACACATTACAGCACAGGTTTAGATTCAATCTGAAATTATATTGGAGGGGCCAGCATTAGTCTCTGATGCGAACAGTGATTGTATGCTTCGTTCATGATGTGATACGATATCCGCTCAGCTCACCTTCCTCCACCACCCCGTCCATATTCATGTCTTGCTGCTGGTTGAAGAAGTTGTCAAAGAAGTTACCCCCCGGAGGAGGTCCGGGGGGCATCATGGGCCCCCCTTCTGGGCCAAAGCCTGGCATCATGGGGGGTCCTCCGGGGCCCATGGGTGGGGGAGGACCCATTGACATGTCTGGGGGCATCATGCCAGGTGGAGGGAACCGAGGCGGAGGCCCACCAGGCCCACCGGGGAGCCCTTGGGGGCCAGTGGCGCCAGCTTGGCCTGTGGCAGTTCCTGGGGTCTGGCCTCTGTAGAGAGAAGGATCGTTGAGTTATACCATGTTCCTAGTACATACTCAAACTCTAAAAGCCACATAAATAGGTTTGGAAGGATGTGAAAAGCTCACCTGTGATTAGCTAGTTTCTGAGCTAGCTGTCCCGTGGGCTGTACCTTGATCTCAAACAGCGAGGGGATCTTCTTCCCGCCATTGCCGGGACAGTGGGGTGGGGGGCCCATGGATGGGGGTGGGGGACCATTGGGGTTGGGAGGGCCCTGGTAGGGGCCACTGTCTGGGTAGGGGGAAGGGGGGCCAGGACAGGGACCGGGACCTTGGGTAGGCCCTGGGCCGGGGAGGCCGTTGGGGGACATGGGGCCCTGTGGTGGTCCAGGAGGTCCAAAGTCCCCAGGGCCGGAGTTGTCGGGCGGCCCTGGTCTGGGAGGTGTCGGGAGAAGGCCCACCCCAGGAGGAGGCTTAGGAAGGGGGTTGATCCCCTGCTTCTTTAGCTCCTCCACCTCCTTCTCATCCTCAGCTCCAGCCTCGGCATCCTCCGCCAGCATCTACGAACACAAGAGATGAAAAGGTGGTCAAAAGGGGTTAACAGACTAACAGAGAGAGCAATAAACACCAGAAATGAGAGGAGAGTGAGTGAAAGTGTGAGAGTGTTAAAGAAACAGAGAGAGGTGGTATCTAAATCCACTTAAAGATGGCTCACCTTGTTTAGCAGGTCTTGGGTGTCGTCGGTCAGAGGCTCGTGGGAGAACATGCATTCGTCTCCATTCACACAGCTCCCGGTGGTGTGGAATAGCTTGCAGGGGAAATCACGTGCTGGCGAGTTAAGGAACTATGGATGGCCTGGATGGACTGAACTCACTCAAAGACTGTCTCATGGCCATATAGGCCCGATATTCAAAAAGCGGCCGGGGGTAGCACTGATATAGGCTATACTAAACTTGACAACTAGTATGGCAGTTCTAGTTATGCTAGCTGTAAACACACACAAAAGGGAATGTATGAAATGTCCTATCTGATACAAAGTGGACAGCAGGTAAAGGATATCATGCATGTAGGGGCAGTTTTCAGCCCGCGCGCAGAAGCCGGTGATGTAGAACTTGCAGAGTTCTTTCTTCTTGGGCAGCTCAATGTCGTGGCTGAAGTTGCAGTGTTCCCCCTGGAAAGTTGGCAAAGAGATAAAACAATCAAAATCACAACATATTTGGACAAGATTGTTTAAAGCAGTTGACGGTAACATATGTTAGAAGAATGATTTGACATTCTATTGAGAATGCCTGGCAAGAACATTATCTCAGCTTAAATTTCATGATTTCCTTCTTACCCAAGTACAGCGGCCCTCGATGTAGTACTTGCAGATAGCTTTCCCTTTCTTGTCTTGGTGCTTGTCCCCCTGCTGCTTGTTGTGCTGGCCTCCTCCTCCATCCTGCACCACAACACAAACAGGTTCTATTTTGCCTTGCGGTGAGGTCTTCCAAGCATTACTAGTTTTAGAGTGTTATCAGAAATCCAACTTGTACAGGTTGAGAATTCATTCAGAGGAGTGAGCAGGTCTGTAAGGTGTTGTAGTTGGTTTTATTCTCACCCCCATGTCCCCCATGTCTCCATTGTTGTCCTCATCGTGACCCTGGTCTCCGCCCCCTCGGCCTCTCCCTCGGTTCCGCCCTCGGCCTCCCCGATTCATACCACGCCCCTGTTTCCCACGGCCCCGCCCCCGCCCACCTTTACCACCTGGTTGGAGCAGGGAGAGAGACACTTCATCAGTGGGCTACAATGGAACAAGACAGGCAACCATTTTGGATCGGGTGCAAAGCATGTTTACTTAGGAAGGACATCAGAACAGCTAACCTAGTATGTCTGTATTACAGTAGCATGACTAAGTATTGTGTTGTATGAATAATAGTGGTAATCCTTCACATGCTGACAGCCAACTCACCCCTTCCACGGTCTTTGGACTTCCTGTACTGAGAGTATTCATCATAGTCATCTTCACCCATGTGGTCATAGTCGTCATCTCCATACTAGAACACAACATAAACTGGATGAGGAACAATTCAGAAACAAAACACAATATACTTTCCTGAGATTTCCAACACTTTGCTGCTTTAGCGAGCACACCAGTATCATTGATAGATCATTTCACATTGTTTGTGCATCTGGCGCCAGAGGATGACCGTCTTTGACTGACCTCCATCTCGTCTCCTCCTCCTCCTACTCCTCCTCCTCCGTACATCATCCCTTCTCCGTCCTCGTTGTCTCCACCCATCTTGCCCCCTCGTCCCCGACCCCTGCTGCCTCCTCTTCCTCTACGCCCTCCTCCTCTCATGCCTCCTCGACCTCGCTGGTTCTTCATACGACCTTTACCTCCTGTGGAGAAAGAAAATGAAACACTGTCAATACCTTGTGTCAGCATCTCCACAGCACGCGGGGACCTGCAAGCAAACTAGTAAAGGTCGTTCAATTCACCTCTGACCCCATTTTTGCTACCTCTGCCCCCGCGACTGTTGCCCCTTCCACCTCCATCGCCGCTGCCTCCCTCTTTGGCCTTGCGGTATTGGTTGAGCTCCTTGGTGAAGTCATCGTAGTCTTCATCCCCCATCTCCTCATCCTCCTCTCCCTCGTAGTTCTCCTCTTCGTAATCGCCGTAGCCCCCGTAGCCTTGCTTGTCCATCTTTACGTAGCTGCCCTTCTTAGGCATGGGGCCACCGTGGCCGGAGGACGGGGCTGGTGGGTAACCTCCAAGGGACTGGGTAGGAAACAAACAAACAATCATTGTTAGACCACTGTAATTACATGGTAGCAAACAGACTAGCAACTCTGCAGCAAGTATCTTCAATCATGTGATTTAGAGTACTGCCATGGGGTAACTTACAGAAGGGGGGTACGTAGGGCTGTAGTCCCGATACTTCCTCTTCTCACTTGGGCTGTAGTCAGAGTCATCGCTAAAGTCTGAGTGGTCATCACTGGAGGAGGCATGACGCTTTAACACCACACACAGAAAGAGAGATACGTTTAGTGACAAAGCACTAAGAACCATCTTTAGACTACTGTAAGAAAGCAATAACATCCCTGATCTGAAGGGTCTGTATAGGACGATGAAAGCCTGAGTTGAGCTGGATGTGGAATACACACACTCTTACTTTGTGCTTGGATTTGCGTCTCTTCTTGGCTCTCCTCTTCTCCTTCTCCCGCTCCCTCTCTTTTCTCCTCTTCCTCTTGTGGCGGCGGGCCTTCTCGTCGTCCTTCTCATCGGCGCTGGCGTGGCGCTCTTTGCTGCGGTGAGTTTTCTCTGGGGGGGCCGCCTCTGCTGCTGCTACTGCTTCACCTTCACCTCCATCTTCTTCTTCTCCTCCTCCTCCTCCTCCAGCGCTGGGCTCCTCTGCCACCTCCACCTCTCCACCATCATCCTCCAGCTCCCCCTCTTCCAGCTCACCATCCTCACGCCTGTGACAAACAGAGGACAGATAGACAGGACATCAAAATGCTGTTCAAGCCACACTCTGGTCTCATCCGTGTAGATCATGTTTGGACTCCCAGTATGGGACAGATGGAGGGTTCCTGGGTGGTAAACATCACATTCCTAGATGCCACCACCCGACAATAATAATACGGGATCAAAGCTTTTTGTCTTGGGAAAAGTACAATGGAATAAAATGGCATTAACAACCGCGACTGCCAGTTTGGGAATTTTGATAATTCCTTTTTCATGGTAGAGGTAACATTGCGAGCCTCAGGTGTACCCGTTTACACATTTTACATTGATAACTTGAATAGCCCATGGGAGTCACATCCCTCATGTTCTGACTTGAGTAATCCAATTTGTAGGTTTCAGTCGCTAATTATGGCGTTTCCTTGTGTTTCTGTACGTTTGTCTTGACAGTGGAGATAACACAGTTAACCTCAGGGCCAATCAGCTGTTGTTATCCTATCCTGTGACAATATCTAAGAGCTGCGTTTGTCTGAACTCGTTAAACATTAATCACACCACCGTTCACCCAAAAACCATGACACAATGTAGGCTGCTCTGCTGTAACATTCTGATAAGTTATGAGTGTTGTGTTTGGGTGACTGGGTTGACGGTTGGCTGTTATTGTGGGTGACATGAAGGACCTAGTGTCTGCTGAGAGTCAGAGGGCAAGATCAAGTTTTTCTTAGATTGATCACATTGGCATAGGCCTACTGACTGTATGCTGGAGATAGGACTGCTAGGGTGTAAGGGCTGTGTGTTTTTTCTGTGTCAAAACAAGCTGAGTTATCGTGAGGGGGTCAGGGATAAGGTGGGTGTGGTCTGTGGTAAACAAATTATATGGCAGTTAGTATATGGGACAGCAATCAGTAATAGCAAGTTTCTCTGTGAACACGATTTCAATATAGGTATGACATTTCCATGTGTGTGTAGTGTCTACACTTTGAGCTTCACTGTTTGTCTCTATGGACTGGAAAAGTTGAGAGCGATGCAACTATGATGATGCAACTGGTGGGGGAGGGGGATTCAGTAGGCCCCAACTACTGGACTGGACATGGGCAATCCGTTGGCTTTCATTATACAGGGTGGATTCAACATCAACATTCAACCCTATTTCAAGGACATTTTGAAAGCAATAGGCCCATCACTAAATCGAGTTAGTCATTCCTGTGCGGGAGACAAGTGTTTACATAACAAAAATAACCTTAAACAGTCTGCTATTTATCAGTGAAGACCAGTCAATTTCATCTCTCAACAGTCCTCAACAGCATACAATATGCTTGCTTAGGACATGAAAAATATTTAACCAACAACCAATACAAATCTCAAACGTTACACAGAAAACCGCAATGGTCAAAACTGTATTACAACTGGAATAGCTAGGCCTAAATATAGCTAGAGAACACAAGACAACAAGAAATCAGAAACAGATAATGTTTCCCCCTGCCAGCTTTCAAGGTGTAGTTTCACACAGAGACGCCATTATATGATTTACTGAAATACATTGGCGTGACAATAAGGCATGTGTGGTGGTGGAGAGAAGTAGGATATGACCACCATGTCCATTTGAAGCCTCACTTTAGCCATCGAGTCTAGCCTACAGAGTGAACGGATATTTGCTGACACTGATCAGAGCAGGCTTGAGTAACAGTCTTGCTTTCAGTGTCTGGTAAAGCCTAACTTCGAAATGGTACAGGTTAGGTCTTTATTTTATTATTCAAATACAGACTGGATTACAATTCTGACTTTTGGCCAAAGTACACAGAAATGGTTTGGGTAGTAAAACAAGGAGTTAGATGTAGGCTATAGAATAGACTATACTCTGAGCATACAGACCCAATCTGTGGACATAGGCTTATAGACCAATTGACACAAATAAATGTTGACTTGTCTCTCTTTATACTCACACCACACGGTCCACACCACATCCTCAACACACTATCTTCCTATGTAGGACATGACTTTCCCTTTGGGCCCGAGGGTTTCTGGGTCTTACTAAAGTCTCCTGCTCCTCGTTACGTTTAGTTATCCTAAGTTTACTCTCAGCCAGAGAGGGACCAGATATAGATCTAGTCACTCTTAAATAAACCAAATTAATCTAAAGCTGCAAGTTGATAATTTTCTTTTTCTCCCCTTCATTGTCAATGGCATGGTTTTACAACCTGGCATAAAACAATGGAGTCAACATAATTTAACTTAGCACAGCCAACCCTTAAATCAAGATCTGTCATGGCAGTCACACAAACCCTCACGTCCTTCAAGAGGCACAAGGAGTCCATTCTTGATGAGCGCAGAGCTTTGCATTGCTGGGGGTTCTATGGACTGACATGGGCACACACAGAACAAAGGCTCTACTGACACAGCTCTGACTCCTGGCCCCTTTCCCTAGTGGCGTGCCAGTTACAAGTATTGAGGATTCTGTGGACAAGCAAAACGCTTTATCATGATTTTGCTCAGTTCAGATGCCAGCCAAGCCAACCTATACTTCTACAGAGGTGTGCCACTCCCATTGGCTGGGAGTATGCCTAACCATTTAGCTGTGCAAAGAGATGTTAGGGTCTGGCCAAACCTATCTTGTCTTGTACTGAATTAAAACTTACTCTTACAACATTCTTTATGTAGTAGCCTATTTCAAACTGAGGTTACAGGGGTTTTGGTTTATTAACATTACAGTAATAAAGGGTTGTATATGAAAATGAGTCAGGCTGGTTAGATTTCCTGACAAATGTGTGACATGGCAAATGCAACGCACCTGTCAACAGCCCCCTCTGGGTTTTAGCCTACATCACAACGATTTTGCAAAAAAATTATGAATCACTCCAATAACAACAGACGAGTCAGGAAATGATAGCACTCACTACTGACAATTAGATAGGGCTCTAGTCTACTCTACGCCAAGGAACAATGGCAAGGAACTATGCACAGAAAAAAAGTTACACTTGGATCCAAATATATAGCCTAATAAAAATGTATCAAGGATAGGCTTGGATAAACGCACTTCAAACAAGACAACCTTTACTGTTGCTATAAAGTTGTGTGCGTGCACTGGACACACCCTATGTGGTTCCAAGAGCATAAACTGAGTTAATGCGGAAAGTACTAGGTACGATCACTAATGTAAACTCACGTTTTCGATTACAAATACATTTTACAATACTATTCATGCATCACCACAACAGGATTACAGTTTAATTAAAAAGGTCAAAACGTTCCCTAATAATCAATTAATCTACAAACAATGGGCCTTTATCAAAATGATGGGAAGTACTTACTGTGAGAGGTTTTCTTCACATTCTGCACTCAAAAGCACTGGTATGACCATTTTTCCCAAAATTGTTTTGGTAACATAATAGTGGTCTCCCCACTTTATTATTAGGGTTTGTGGAATGGTATAACTTGTGTTGTTGGGGGGAATGCTGAAGACAGACAGGGCAATCAGGCAACTAAATACGGAACATTTGTGTTTTACTTCACCTTTTAGACATCTGAAATGCTTTGCAAACATTCAACACAGTTCTGGGATTTGGTGGGTGTTTGGGACAACAATCTAAAGTAAAATAGCAGTCTGTCCTGAGAAGAGAGAAGCGAGAAACTTTATACGGGCACAAAATTAGGCAATTTTCCTGAACGTACATGGAAGAAAATGTTAGAAAATACATTAATGTACAGATCTAGTAATTATTATTATTTTATTATTTTTATTATGGGTGGCACAAACATTTCATGGGGAAATGAGAAAGCTAAAATAATTGTGCAATCACTTTTGTTACATTGTTGCTGACTAGTTAGTATGATCAACTTCACGCCTTGGAATTGTATCAATTTGTTAATTGTTAGTGATTAAATGTTCTATCAACACCTAGCTAGTTGGCTTAGTTAACGTTAGCCTGTGGACCAATAGTGAACTTCATAGTTAGCTAATCGAACCAATTAATTGTATTCGCCGATTCAAGAGGGCTCGTTCTATTGAATGACAAGTGACCATCTGCATCAATTCCAATGACAAAAATGTTTTCAACACAACTAACTAGTTGATACAAAGGAAGGCACAATGGCGGCCTTGGCTTACTAGTTAGTCTGGCTAGATTGGTCTGGCAAGATAGCTATCAAAAAAAAGAAACTGCGTAGTTAGCTAGCGTCGTTACTTAGCTGGAGTGCTAATAAAGGAAATACATACTATGTCCAACAACTGGTTATTAATCAAATAAATTACAATCAAGTAGTTTCTGACCTGAAATACCTAGAATGGAATGATTAATTAGGAAACTGATTAAATTCGCCCTATTGTTGGCTTGGCTGATAATTTGCAAACTGCCTTTTTTTCCACGGAGGGCAGCCAGCTAGCTAGCGAGTTGGAACCTTAACTAGGCCTTTCTTTGCAATGCAATTTTGCAAAGCTTTTGTGTTCAAACACGTTTTGGACATCTAGATAATTGGACATCTATTCAGAAATTAATTAATTTCAGCTAGTTAATTTAATGGTGGACAATTAGCAAGCAAAATATCCTATTTTTCTTCATTCGGTCTTTACTTTGATAGGGATGCAACTTTGCTGGATCAGTTATTTGAACTGATGGTTTTTCTTCATAAAATAACTTCTTGAAATACTTATTCAAACTGAACAGATCCCAGGTTCATATTTGACCTTCCAGTTTGCGCTGAGCAACGTTTCAAAATGGCGTTCGTTACCTCTGTACTTGTTCCCCAGAAAAAGGCGACTTTAATCCCTTTGAAAGAAAAAAAGGAAAAAGAAACCCGGGCTTTTTATGCCTAAAAAGCACAGGACAAATAAATAGTTTGATAGAAATATGATTGTAGAATTACTCGACCTTTCGTCAGTGAGAAGACTGTGTTCGTGGTTGGTTGTTGTTGGGGAGTTTGGATGGACAGTCATGCTTTCCACAGCCATTTCCTCTAGCTACATTTAGGTGCAAAAAAAATTACAACTCTACTGGCTTATGCGTCACTTAACTTGGATCTACAGTACTTGTTAATGGTTTTAGGAAGAGTTTCAGTTCATAGTAGTCAATTCCCCACCAACAGTTGTTAGAGAAATAGGTTGAAATTGTGTCCTGAGGTTCTCCGTCCTACAGTTGCGCTGTAAAATGAAACTCATCCACTTAAAATGGCTGACTGTCTCCTCCAAAGAGAAGGGGCGGGATATTCTTAACGTGACGACATTAACATTACGTTCTCATACGTTTGTCACGGAAATACCCGAACGTTCTTCGATCAGCAGTTGTCAAAGAGCACTCCGGCATAGGTATATGCATATCTGCAGCCAAGGGTTCTGGATTTTAGGGCACATTGAGGAATTCTGCTGCTTGTCCAGTAATTTGAACAAGTTCACTTTTCTCTTAATTAGTTGGCCGTCAGTTCCCTCTCCATGGCATGACTATATTGGTGGTAGCTGTGGACAGCAATGTGTGTCTCAGAGCCTGTGTATGTAGTGCATGTCCTGTACCAATTATAATTCACTATTAAAGCCACAGTCAAATTTCAACTAATCAGTTACATTTAATTAATTAGATTGATTGGTTCAACTGTTTTGGCATATCACAATAAAATAAAAACCAAGGACCAGGTATAGGCTCCATTGTTCATGTTTTTGTTGCCATAGGAAACTTTGAACAAATGTATAGCTTTATATCATGTGAACATGTCATAAATTCATTTCTTCCACTGTTATATTTTTGTTGGTAGGCCCATGCTATGATGGTATCAGTGGAGGCTCCTCAGAGGAGGAAGGGGAGGACCATCCTCCTCAGTGAATTTTATAAAAATTAAAATAGTAAAACATTAAAAAAAGTTATCCTTTTTAGATAAAACTATACTAAATATAATCACATAACCAAATAATGTATTACAACACACTATTTTGCAAAGGAGGTCTACAGTAACCTCAACAGCACTCTCTAGGGTAGCGCCATGGTGTAGCCGGAGGACAGCTAGCATCTGTCCTCCTCGGTACATTGACTTCAATACAAAACCTAGGAGGCTCATGGTTCTCACCCCCTTCCATAGACTTACACAGTAATTATGACAACTTCCGGAGGATGTCCTCCAACCTATCAGAGCTCTTGCAGCATGAACTGACATGTTGTCCACCCAATCAAAGGATCAGAGAATAAATCTAGTACTGAAAGCATAAACTACAGCTAGCTAGCACTGCAGTGCATAAAATGTGGTGAGTAGTTTACTCAAACAGAAAGAAAGACAGTAGTTGAACTGTTTTGAACAAATTAATTAATTCGAAAATGAAGGAGAAGCAAGAGAGAAATAGAGAGAGAGGGCCCGCCGGTGTAACTGCTTACTGACTGTACACTGTACCGTTACAGCATGATTGTAGCGGGTTTACTAACGCGTTAGTTCTATTAGCTATGCTGACTATGACGTTACTTTAGCTAATATGGTGACAACGATGTAGGCTGTGTGTAGCGGTTCGGCTTGGAAAGGTTTTTTCGCCTGGTCACATACAGCTGATGTGTTGTGCATTGAATTCCACAAGCGAAGGGAAGAGGTGAGAGGAGGAGAGCGCATAGATGCGAGAAGGAATACAACGTGGTTGCCATGAAAGTGAAATGTGTTCGCGCATGATCAGGGGTGTATTCATTCTGCCGATTCTGTTGAAAAATGTTTCTTAAACGGAAGCAAATGGAACAAAACGGGGATAAACATACCTGAATTTGTCCAATAGAAACTCTCGTTTGCAACTGTTGGACTAATGATTACACCCTATATCAGCAGGCAAGAGTGTGCAAGGCGGTATTGAATGTCACGTTCTTTCCATGTGTCACTGTCTGTCACCTCAAATTTGTCTCTCGACCTGTGTGCATCGACGTTGTAAACTGTCATTCATAGGCTAGGTTGTAGCAACCTCATGATGGGTATAGCAAACATTCTAATATCATGTAGTAGCCTAAACCTATCGCCGTTACATTGAACTGGGTGAATGGAATATGAATGACAGTCATCCAATATGCTGTAATAGAAATAAGGCCATGCTCATGAAAAAAAAAAAGAGTAGTGCAGAAGGTGTCATTTGCTGAGGTATTGAAGAGAGTAGTAGAGGAAGATGGGTCCACCCTTACGGGAAAAGATTGCAGTCAGAGTGCAGTATAACCGCAAATACTGCATCCAAAATAACACAGTTTTTTTTACTGCAATAATTTTGCAGTGTAACTGCAGTTCAACTGCAGTACACTGCAGTTATTCTGCAATTACTTTGTCCAAAATACCACAGTCGACTGCAGTTACTGCACTTATACTGCAGTTTCAAAACTGCAATCTTTTTTTGTAAGGGCAGGGTGAGGGATCCTAAGAGGATCTCTGTGAGTAGGACGAGGTCAATAGAGAGTGAGAGGAATAACATGTGCTTCAGTAAGGTTGTTTTTTTGGCGTTCATAGCCATGGTTGTCAACTGTACCGCAGGAATGGAATGTAAATCACAGAGGATAGATATTGTGGTGGCAGCTGTAGAGAAGTACTTGGGCGTACAAGATTTTACTGCAGAAGAGTTACAAGGTGTTTTGACCAATAGTGTCCCGTACTCCCAGGCTGCTTGGCTGGTGTAGGATCAGAGAGGACCAAAGTAGTGGAATAGTGATGAGGTTTTAATGGGTGTAGGGTTAGTTGGTAGGTTAATTTTTTCACAAAGTGTAATGAATTAATACTACAGAAAAGTAGGCTGATACACATCCAATACAGTAGGTGGCGGCATGCATCTATAACATTTGTTAGCGGACCGCCATAATATCAAAGAAGAAGACAACGTCATCATCCAGCGTCCGTTCAAATCAGTGATAGCGGTACTCTCCCCGAATCTAAAAAGGGAAATATTAATTCCATTACTGTTAAACTAGACAAATAAACCAGTTTGAGATGATAGACATGATTGAGAAGGAGGAATCTATCATTAGCGAGGAAGAAGCGGCTCAGTATGACCGGCAGATCCGACTATGGGGTCTGGAAGCACAAAAGAGGTAGCTATTAGCTAACCAGCTAGCTAACGTTAGCGTCCATTGTCTTTGTAGCTAGATAACCTATTATGTCAGTACTAAATGCACATGCAATAAATGTAAAATTTGAACTATGCACACACTTGGCCATGATACACTAAATCTTTACAATGTTTCTCAATCCATTCCTGGGGTGCACAATTTTGCTTTGGCCCAGCGCTAACGCAGCTGGTTCAACTCACCAACTAGCCAGCTAATCACCAAACCCTTGAATCAGACATGTTCGTGCTGGGCTAAAACAAATGTGCATCCCCTGGGGTCCCACAGCATGAATGGATTGGAAAACACTGCAAATGTTGATGTTTACATAATGTATCAATCTGCACGAAGCATGCATATTTTGTCTTGAAGGCTTTCCACCCCATATTGTATGATGGAGCCACATAGCTAATAAAGGTGTTGACCATCTGCTTCTGTTCCAGACTGCGGGGCTCTCGTGTGCTCCTGGTGGGGCTCAGGGGCCTGGGGGCTGAGGTGGCCAAAAATCTAATCCTGGCTGGAGTGAAGGGGCTGACCCTGTTGGACCACGAACAGGTACAGACCACAATACACAAACACAAAGGGGGGGTGGGGGGGGGGGGGTGAAGGCCTATCCACCACCATAGACTCTTCAAGTGCACCATTCAAACCCTCAACCCTTTTAACAGCTGCTATATATATATGATATGCTCTGGATAGCCCTGACTTTGGCCACCTTATTCTCTTTCACCCTTGTGGGGTATTCGAAAGACGTGGCTTCATGGTTCCCACTACAATTGCAACATGTCACATTTTCATCACTTTTATTACATTTACATTTACATTTAAGTCATAATATGATCTTTTCAACAACTAGGACATCTCGGCTTCTCCCTTCTGCAAACACTTGAAACATGACCAAAAGCTTTACAATGGTCACCCTGCATTGGTCTTGGGATAAATGCTCTGACTCTGTAGTTAATATACCTTAACTGCACTTGAGTAGGGAAAGACTCCATATCAAAAAACAAAAGAACAGATAGACTCTTCACTTTTTCTTCATTCACCATACGATTAATCCGACGTGCATCAATCACTCCAGGAATATTTTTCATCTCTTCAACATCTACTTCCCACGAGACTCTAGATATAACCCCCTTGAGCTTTGCCCTGTTCCTAAGAGACACACGCGACACTTCAAACTTATCAAATCGGGTGATACGCAACACACGTTTCTTCTGATCCTCAGATGCACAAAAAAATCAAAACCAGCCCGCCTCTCGTGATCCTCACAGCCTTCACTCTACCCAGCACTCTCTCCACCAGTTCAAATCAAATGTTATTGGCCACATGCGCCGAATACAACAGGTGCAGACATTACAGTGAAACGCTTACTTACAGCCCTTAACCAACAGTGCATTTATTTTTAATAAAAAAGTAAAATAAAACAACAACAAAAAAGTGTTGAGAAAAAAAGAGCAGAAGTAAAATAAAATAACAGTAGGGAGGCTATATATACAGGGGGGTACCGGTGCAGAGTCAATGTGCGGGGGCACCGGCTAGTTGAAGTAATATGTACATGTGGGTAGAGTTAAAGTGACTATGCATAAATAATTAACAGAGTAGCAGCAGCGTAAAAAGATGGGGTGGGGGGGCAGTGCAAATAGTCCGGGTAGCCATGATTAGCTGTTCAGGAGTCTTATGGCTTGGGGGTAGAAGCTGTTGAGAAGTCTTTTGGACCTAGACTTGGCACTCCGGTACCACTTGCCGTGCGGTAGCAGAGAGAACAGTCTATGACTAGGGTGGCTGGAGTCTTTGACAATTTTGAGGGCCTTCCTCTGACACCGCCTGGTATAGAGGTCCTGGATGGCAGGAAGCTTGGCCCCAGTGATGTACTGGGCCATACGCACTACCCTCTGTAGTGCCTTGCGGTCGGAGGCCAAGCAGTTGACGTACCAGGTGGTGATGCAACCAGTCAGGATGCTCTCGATGGTGCAGCTGTAGAATTTTTTGAGGATCTGAGGACCCATGCCAAATCTTTTCAGTCTCCTGAGGGGGAATAGGCTTTGTCGTGCCCTCTTCACGACTGTCTTAGTGTGTTTGGACCATGATAGTTTGTTGGTGATGTGGACACCAAGGAACTTGAAGCTCTCAACCTGTTCCACTACAGCCCCGTCGATGAGAATGGGGGCGTGCTCAGTCCTCTTTTTTTCCCTGTAGTCTACAATCATCTCCTTTGTCTTGGTCACGTTGAGGGAGAGGTTGTTATCCTGGCACCACACGGCCAGGTCTCTGACCTCCTCCCTATAGGCTGTCTCATCGTTGTCAGTGATCAGGCCTACCACTGTTGTGTCGTCGGCAAACTTAATGATGGTGTTGGAGTCGTGCCTGGCCATGCAGTCATGGGTGAACAGGGAGTACAGGAAGGGACTGAGCACGCACCCCTGAGGGGCCCCCCTGTTGAGGATCAGTGTGGCAGATGTGTTGTTACCTACCCAGTTTGGATATCTCAAATGGATTCCTCAAGATTGGTAATTTGATCAGCTGCTCCTCATTTACAAACGGTATTCCTACTAGATACGAAGTGACATTCTCATCTCTGTACTCTACTTTGATCCGTTTTCCATTCTTTTGGACTATATTCCAATTCTCCTTGATTCTACCGCCATTAGATTCAGAATCCACTTCATCATCCGCTTCCGCCATCTTTTTTCCATCTGACCTCGCACTCGCTGCCATCTCTCCTCGGAAGCACTTCGTCCTGGTAACGGAGTTAGGTCAGAGGTACCCTAAAGTAGCAGGCGTAAAATAAACACCTGAAACTAGATCCACTACATACTGGTCTTGACGAGAAGGAAAAAAACTGTTGAGGGAGGTTCTCTTTTGCACTGTGCAACCAATCCAGTAAATGTGGAGGAGGAGTTAAGATGGAGTGTCGCCTTGTTAACATCCAAAAGCGGAAGTCTTTCCATTCCCCCTGAAAACCGGAACATCCGGTTGTTGGGGACTCGGCAGAGGCTATGTGAGAGGGAACCTTCCCAAGTAGGCTAATGGTGGGGTGAAACACTGAGAAAATTGCAGGACAATAGAAATTAATGTTACAAACCACTAACTATTTCTGCTCCCTTTCTTCCCAGGTGACAGAGGAGTCATGCCGGGCCCAGTTTCTAATTCCAGTGACTGCTCAGGGCCAGAACCGAGCCCAGGCCTCCCTGGAGCGGGCCCAGTACCTCAACCCCATGGTGGAGGTGAAGGCAGACACAGACAGGGTGGAGACCAAACCAGACGAATTCTTCCTTCAATTTGAGGCAGTGAGTACAGTAGTGCAGGGCCGGCCTATTGTCAAGATTACTTTTTTAAATTATTTTTTGTTACCCTAAATGGCCACTAGGTGGTGCATTTACACCATACTTCTTACTACATGTTGCTCTGGGCAGCAGACCAATGCCAGTGTAGCACCTGTTTTGCACAGATTTTCTTTCCTGCAGATTTAAGCTGTTTTTGACTGATGATGAGTTCCATTGCATGTAGTTGCACTTTGTTCACAAAAATAATCTTTCTTTGTAGAACTTAGTGATAAGTGTTTTTCATTGGATATCCTTGTTAAAAGTGTACTTTGCGATTTTGGCAATTAAGCCCTTTATCTACTTCCCCAGAGTCAGATGAACTCATGGATACCATTTGTATGTCTCTGCATCCAATATGAAGGAAGTTAGAGGTAGTTTCGTGAGCCAATGCTAACTAGTGTTAGCGCAATGACTGGACGTCTATGGTATCTACTAACATTCTAGCAGTTACCATAGAGTAGATACCATAGACGTCCAGTCATTGCGCTAACGCTAGTTAGCAATTTTCTTCAAACTGCACGCAGACATACAAATGCTATCCACAACTTCATCTGACTCTGGGGAAGTAGACAAACGGCTTCATAATATGATGCATATACATATTATTTATACATTGACAGAGTGAGGGAATTGACAAGTGCCTGTAGGGGAAAAAAATAACAAAAAAATAAAGACCCTTGAGTTTGGAGATAAATACATTTATCTAACTTATGTCTGTACAGCTAACAAGTAGAAACTTCGCTTTTCTGTGGCGTTTAGTTCCAGACACTGCAAAGCAAGTTGTCTGATGTGCTCTGCTCTCAATCATATTAGTGGTGGGGTTTTAAAGAGTCTCCTCATCAGATACTCAGGGATTTTCGAAGCGCAAACAAGCCGCTTCCCCAGTCTGTCTGTGGCGGAGAAACGGCGGAAGCGTCCCGGGGGGAGTGCTAATGGAAGTTCAGGAAGAGGGGGAGGCGGAGTGGGCTTTGCTGTAGACTGCTAGCCTCTTTTATCTGCTAGCTATGGATATGTCTTGCCTGTGTGGTGCAGCACTGGGAAACTGGAACTGGTTTAAATTAGCTGGAATGCATGACAAGGAGCTGCTCTCTTTAGTCACTGTGTTTTGGGATTAATAGGTCTGGATTATAGCTTTGATCCCGATAGAGTTTGCAGGTGTTTTTGTCTTTTTAGAGATATTTTGAGGCAACAATTCACACCCACAACAAACAAACAAACCTCTCTCATTTACTTCACTCAGAATACTGGTATACTCTCCCTATTCTCACTCATGTACTTTCATTGAGTCTACAATAACCACTCATTCTCTGCATGTCTATCACTTCACTTCTCCCTTCACCTCCTACCAGACCCATTCTCCGTTAGGTTCCATTGTACAGATAAGCTATATAACCCCCCCTCCCTTTCCTCACTTCCTTCTTTTCACTCCCTCTCTCCCTCGCCTCTCAAACAATCCAGCTCAGTGTCCCTCTTCACAAAGCCCTTGCCGGAGGCCATCGAGAGGAGGCGCCCGAGCTGCACACCTCCTTCAAAGGGAGAGAGGCTCTGTGGACAGACAGACAGTACGGCTGGCCAGGCTGTTAAAAAGCCCTGTCCCCTCCGGCCTGCCAGTGCCATCACTCCCAGTTCCCACTCCCAGTTCCCACTGCCAATCCCCTCTAATGAACTACACCAGCAGCAGTAGCCCAACATGTCCAGCCAGCGTCTCCCTTAGTGTCTGTCGCCAGTGCCACAACAGAAGGCTTGCCTTTTTGTAGCTGGCAACTAAAGCCAATAGGACTTCTATGGTAGTCTGTAAGGGTCCCCCTTCCCCCAAAATACCTTCTTCATATGGAGTTGAGGTGTGTGGTTCAAGGAAGATCTCCGGTCCATTTTTCAATCATCAAGCATGCACCCAGCTTTGATGAGTAGTCTATCAATCTTCATTAGCTAAGGGCAAAGCAATTAAAAACAACTTCAACCATGCAGTAACACGTCGATAAGATGCCCTTGGTAAAACACTGGAGCCTGTAGTGAACTCGATGCTGGCACCTCCCAACATTGCGGTACTTTGTGTTCCGGGAGGGACCAGCGTGTACCACTCACCCATGTCAGGGATGCCACAGACAGATGCCCGTCAACTGCCAGACAGACCCTTATCTCTAGCCAAGTGTGGAGTGTGCTGGGTTTGGTCTGGAGGATAAGATGGACCCAGCCCAAGGGTCAGTTGTTTATGAAGGCCAATTTTCTGTTCCCCACCCTGTTCAGAAAGAACACACTGGCCAAAACAAACTAGTCGATTCTTCGACTGAATAACAGATTTTGTTTACTTGAACATGTTTTGTGTCAAAAGGACGGGGCGTCTGTTGTAGAAGCTGGTGGGTGTGATGTTCAAGGAGGGTAACTAAAAGAGTAGGTTGTTGTTTAAGGATTGCTATGGTGGAATGTATCCAAAAGGTGCGTGTGCATGCGTGCGCGTCAATTCAGATTTAGGCCTACTTGTTCATCATCAAGTATTTTGTCATCATTCCCTGCAAGGTCTCTCAATGAAAATGTACTCTATATATACAAAAGTATGTTGACCTCCCCTTCAAATGATTGGATTCTGCTATTTCAGCCACACCCGTTGCTGACAGGTGTATAAAATCGAGAACATTTTACATTTACATTTTAGTCATTTAGCAGACGCTCTTATCCAGAGCGACTTACAGTTAGTGAGTGCATACATTTTCATACTTGCCCCCCGTGGGAATTGAACCCACAACCCTGGCGTTGCAAGCGCCATGCTCTACCAACTGAGCTACAAGGGCCCACAGACATGCAATCTCCATAGACAAACATTGACAGTAGAATGGCCTTACTGAAGAGCTCAGTGACTTACAACGTGGCACCGTCATAGGATGCCACCTTTCCAACAAGTCAGTTCGTCAAATTTCTGCCCTGCTAGAGCTGCCCGGGTTAACTGTAAGTGCTGTTATTGTGAAGTGGAAACGTCTAGGAGCAACAACGGCTCAGCTGCAAAGTGGTAGGCCACACAAGCTCACAGAACGGGACCGCCGAGTGCTGAAGCGTGTAGCTCGTAAAAATAGTCTGTCCTCAGTTGCAACGCTTACTACCGAGTTCCAAACTTCCTCTGGAAGCAACGTCAGCACGAATCTGGGTTTGGCGGAGGCCGGGAGAACGCTATCTGCCCCAATGCATAGTGCCAACGGTAAAGTTTGGTGGAGGAGGAATAATGGTCTGGGGCTGTTTTCCATGGTTCGGGCTAGGCCCCTTAGTTCCAGTGAAGGGAAATCTTAACGCTACAGCATACAATGACATTCTAGACGATTCTGTGCTTCCAACTTTGTGGCAACAGTTTGGGGAAGGCCCTTTCCTGTTTCAGCATGACAATGCCCCCGTGCACAAAGCGAGGTCCACTCAGAAATGGTTTATCAAGATTGGTGTCAAAGAACTGGCCTGCACAGAGCCATGACCTCAACCCCATAGAACACCTTTGGGATGAATTGGAACGCCGACTGCGAGCCATGCCTAATCGCCCAACATCAGTGCTCGACCTCACTAATGCTCTTGTGGCTGAATGGAAGCAAGTCCCCGCAGTAATGTTCCAACATCTAGTGGAAAGCCTTCCCAGAAGAGTGGAGGCTGTTATAGCAGCAAAGGGAGGACCAACTCCATATTAATGCCCATGATTTTGGAATGAGATGTTCGACGAGCAGGTGTCCACATACTTTTGGTCATGTGGTGTAGTGAGCACCATGGGAGTTGTAGTTTTAGCTGCTCTCTGACTTTGTCCTCCCGTCCCTTGTTCCTCTCAGGTGTGTCTGACAGGCTGCTCGAGGGATCTGATGGTGCGCGTGGACCAACTCTGTGCCCAGCACAACATCAAGGTCTTCTGTGGTGACGTCTTTGGTTACCACGGATACATGTTCTCCGACCTTGGCCAGGAGCACAACTATGTTGAGTAAGTGTCGCGTGAGTGTTGTGTGTGTGTGATTGTCGTGTGTCTGTTTAATTTACTTGTCTTGATTAATCATCAGTTATACTTATGCTCATCTGTCCCTTGTTTTGATGCCCCCATCCAGGGAGAAGCCCAAAGTAGTCAAGCCCAAAACAGAGAAGTCCAATGATGGACCTGAGGCCAAGAAACCAAAGGTTGACCCCAATGAGACCACCATGATCAAAAAGGTGAGCGTAGTATAATAATAGCTCAATTATTGTTTTATCAATGTAATGAATGTTATCCTCCTCCACATCTAATGATGTCATGTTCCTTTCCCTTTGGCATCTCTCTATCCCTACTGAACAGACGGCCAGCTTCTGCTCCTTGAAAGTGGCTCTGGAAGTGGATTGGACAAATGAGAAGGCCAAGAGCAGCCTGAAGCGCACCCCCGTGGACTACTTCCTGCTACACGGTACCTGCACCTTACAATTCCACAAAGCCATTGGATATAAATATCTATTTGATAAAAGAGAGAGAGAACCGTAACTGGCTGCCATCACGTCTTTTTTATTTTGCCGTACGAAACAGTGACGCTATAGATTGATGCCCTCTACACATGTGAGCATCTGCAGCTCCATTGATATCGCCCACCACCATTCCTCCCTTCCTGTTTTGGTTGTTGTAGCATTGCACCCTGTTCCTTCTAGTCTGATTTGGTCCCTTTAATAGCCTTCACCTGGTTTCATAGACCCTCTTAACATGGCTCTGTTTCCATCACAGGCTCTCCATGGCCAGTCGTGTGTGACTTTAGAACAGAGAAACAAACAGCTAGCCACCACCCACCCACCCACGACACTACACGACACCCGCAAGGCTGCCTACTCTCTCCGGCCCCTGTTGTTGGCTAATATTAATGTAACAGCAGGAACGAAAGAAGCTGTTATTTTGTTTTGTTTTTGTCGTTTTCAGAGGTGTCTTACAGCATTTGGGTTTCTATAGTTAAGTCTAGACATAGTGGGATCTCTCGACTGAGCTGCTCTTGAGGAAGTGGTACTTCCTCTGTTACAGGCTGTGTTACAGCTCCTCTGTGTCCCCTACTGTATGCAACCGTAACCCCTCCGGAGGAATGGAAGGCAGCACAGGCGTGGGGGCACAGGACTGTTTTCCCTCAACTTTGATTTAGTTAATGTAATTTGAATGTGTTGTTTTTGGTTAATCCCTGTTTGAATTTGATCAAGAATGTTCCAGACTGCTCTTTTAAGACAATGTTTACTGGTCTACTTTGCACAGATGTCTTTGTACACTTGCATATTGTGTTAGTCTGTGCCAGGTTTTGAGATAATTCTATGAAATTCAGTGGTTGAGAGAATATTTAGTTGATGGTGATGATTCATGTGATGATGGTGATTGATGTGGGGTTTTATATGCGTGCGTGTGTGCGAGGTGTCAGTCTAGTGGAAATAGCCGTGGGCGGACTGGGCTCCATGATGTGATTGATTGGATAGCTAAAGAGAGGAAGTGATGACACCTGTTTTAACACTGAGGGGGCGAGGAGAGCTGCCAGGCTTAAAGGGGGGTTTAGAACCTAAAACGTCTCAGTGTGAACGGTACGTCCGTCTATCTCCTTTATTATTTGCCTTTTAGTAATATTCAGACTCCAAACCACATCCTCCTCATATTGACACATCTGCCCACGGTCTCACACCTAGTACTAGTGGTGCGTGCTGACAAGACAAGGACAAAAGTCATAGACGTCTGATCACGGCCTTGTCAAACTGATCAAAAACTGCTGTTCATTCAAAGCCATTATCAGATGAAGAGGTTCGTTGGCGCGACTGCCAGTCGTCTGTGGTACAACACAGATAAAGATCTGATTGCACACCGTCTCCACGGGATGATCAGTATGTAATTGGAAGTGTGTGTGTTTGTGTGTGTACATTTTTTCTGTGAGTGGAAGTGAAGCTAGCCAACCAGTGTCATTCCAGCAACTGATAGAATCACAACCCCACCAACAATTCCTTAGTAACATATTCTGTGTTGTATGGAAAACGTAGCTCAGTATATGTAGCAACGTAACACATCAAATCAGAGCTTCATCTGTGTGTCTTCTGTGGTTTCCCGCACTTCTTCACCACTCGTTCTATTGTTCACTCTCTCTCTGTGTTCCTCGCTTCTCTCCCACAGTACTGCTGAAGTTCCGTACAGACAAAGGTCGCGACCCCCACCCAGAAAGCTTTGAAGCAGACGCCACGCTCCTGAGACAGATCCGTGATGATGTCCTGGAGGCCATGGGGCTGAGTAGCGAGCTGCTGCCTCATGACTTCGTCAGGTGACTGGCTCAATTCAACCCAGATTTCACCACATGGTGCATCACTTGACAGCCGTTCAGATGTTAAGTTGGACTCTTTGTAGGGGTGTTGCATCTGCCAGTGATGTTAGTTCTTAGATGTATCAAAGATAATCTGTGACTGGCTGCTCCATTCTGAGCTATTTCAGTTTTTCAGAGTTAAGACAATTGTTAATTCATCCTTATGAACTCAAGAGTTTGTGTATTTCTGTTTGACAGTCATGTTGTTTTGTGTTGTCATCAGCTACTGCTTCTCTGAGATGGCCCCTGTGTGTGCTGTGGTGGGTGGCGTGCTGGGACAGGAGGTTGTCAAGGTTGGTTGTCAAGTTTATGTATTAGTTTTTAGTTTATTGACTTTTCATTAGTTGCTGTAACTTTAAATCATTCATACGCTACTGTCCATCCTGGCTCTTAACTAGTGTGAACCACAACCCATCATACTGTCTGCACCACATTTACTGTTGTGCAGCTTTCACTGGGGAGGAAAATAGCATGTTATATTTTGGGGAGGCAGAAAGCTAACCACTTGACAGCAGGCCACGCCACTTGATTCTGGGTCCAATCCAGAAATACCCACTGATATGTTTCAGTCCTGTGGGGCTTTTGGGGAGATTTAGGTGGTCAGTGTGTCTCTTTGGTGTGGCTGTTTTGGGTATGACCTGGGTATTGGAAAATAAGGGAAGTGTCACAGTCCTACCTGTATTTGAGAGTTGAGGAAGCCAGGTAAGAGGTAACGTCCGTCAGTACAGACAACCCTCTCAGCGGGATGATGGCACTGCGCCAGGCTGTCTGTCTCCATAATATGATGTAATGATGAAACTGGATAAAATTGCCTGCAACAGGCAGACATCGCACTGGGTGAAGTCAAGCGATCACCGATCACACAGCAGACAGTGCTCACGCAGTGGAGCGGACACTAGAGTGCATCCAATGGGAAAGCTGCTGATGCCTCCACAGCAAAGCTATCCTTATCTATTGTGGGCTAAGTTTGAGAGATGGTCAGGTTGTGTGTGTGTATGTTGTTGGCTGGTATTAACGTCTCTGTGTGTTTCTACAGGCTCTTTCCCAGAGAGATGCACCACACAAGAACTTCTTCTTCTTTGACGGTATGAAGGGCAGCGGGGTGGTGGACTACTTTGGTCCAAAGTGATCGACCATATTCCCACCAAAGGAGGTAGAGGTGTGTGCATGGGACAAGGAGGCCTACACTCACATACTCAGTAACAGTTTTGAGTGTTGTCATTCTTTTTTCCAGTCAGACTATTTATCAATGTGTAACCATTCACCTCAGCTGAAAGTTCAACAAGTGTTGCAATAGGCGAAAAGGATTTGTCATTGTACGTATCCTCTTTTTCATAACTACGCACGCAATACACCTACTAGACGGTTTTTCCAGCATACCTTTTGGAATTTCTATTTTTTTGTTGGCTGTTAGACTGTCCTTTTATGTTTCAAGCACACAGTGGGATTTTTACATTTTGTTATAAAAATATTGTGAACAAAATTTGTCTTTGAGGGGTTATTTGGAAATTCAAAGTAGTGAGTGGTGGAAAAAGTACCCATTTGTCATACTTGAGTAAAATAAAATATTTCTTAATAGAAAATTACTCAAGTAAAAAGGAAAGTCACCCAGTAAAATACTACTAGAGTAAAACTCTAAAAGTATTTGGTTTTAAATATACTTAAGTATTAAAAGTAAATGTAATTGCTAAAATATACATAAGTATCAAAAGTGGAAGTTAACGTATAAATCATTTAAAATTCCTTATATTTACCAACCAGATGGCATCATTTTCTTGTTTTTTAAATTTACGGATAGCTAGAGGCACACTTCAACACTCAGACATCATTTACTAACGAAGCATGTGTTTAGTGAGTCCGCCAGATCAGAGGCAGTAGGGATGACCAGGGATGTTCTCTTGATGAGTGTGTAAATTCTTCCTGTCCTGCTAAGCATTCAAAATGTAATGACTACTTTTTAGTGTCAGGGAACATTTATGGAGTAAAAAGTGCATTATTTTCTTTAGTAATGTAGTGAAGTAAAAGTTGTAAAAATATATAAATAAAGTAAACTACAGGTACCCCAAAAAACTACTTAATTAGTACCTTTAAAGTATTTTTACTTAAGGAGTTTACACCACTGAGTAGTGACATTGAATGACTCAATGGTTGTGTAGCAGTGGGTCATATAGGTTTAAATGAGTGGATATATGGCCAGCGGCCTGGTGTTAAGTTCAGTGCATGATGTCATGCCACGTGGGTGAAAGAGCAGGTATCAGTGCCTGGCAGCAGCAAAACAAAGGGATTGTTCCAGGTGCTTCCAAGAAAGGCCAATCATGAGCATGATAGTTTCCTCTTCAGTCACCCAAACAAGGGATCACTCCCTCCATCAGCGGCAGGTGGATGGACCGGTAGAACTGGTCTAGCAGGTACTGTAGGTAGGTACATGGAGGGAGTGGCAACCCCCTACACAGAGTGCCCCATGTACATCAGATAAATTAGAAGTGGTGAGCTATTGGCATTTAACTGACTTCTCATTTACATTTGGCATTTAGCAGACACTCTTGTCCAAAGTGACGTACAGTAGTGAGTGCATACATTTTCATACTTTTTTTTCCATACTGGTCCCCCGTGGGAATCGAACCCACAACCTCAAGCGCCATGCTCTACCAACTGAGCCACACGGGAAGACTCTAGGCATGTTGAAAGTGTTGTTTTCTTGGCTGTGTAGACTACTATTTTCTACATTTAATGCCCTTCCGAGAAATGACAACGTTTATGGTGAAACTGTCCATGTAAAGGATGGTTCTTCCCCAAAACGTGTTTTTGTCCTTGACCATAAAACTGTACAATGCAGAGAAGTATCTTCTCAAACCAGAGGCACAAAGAAAGCAGTATGATATTCCACATAGTTTCTTTGTGTATCTGTTTGTGACTTATTGAAGAGCGAAAAAGCACCTTGCCAACTTGGTGGAAAATACATGTATTGTTTTTCGCCTGCAGCGGGGATTCGTGAAAAGGAAAACAGCCAGAGCCTTGAAATTAAACCATGACTGATTAAGCCCCATAAGGAGTCACTGCTCTTTTCCTGGGATTAGGAAAAAGCAGGATTTATTACGGACATCGCTTTAAACCCATCCTTTTAATTAAAGCACGTCTCTTATCTCCTCTCCCTGACCACCCCACCCATCCCCCCTCTCCCACTCACAAAAAAAAGCTACCCCCCTCCAGCACTGTGGTGTGTTCATTCATTTTGTAAAGACCCCCGACTGAGCAGAAAAGATCCAAGCGGTCGTTCCCGACACCAATCACAATGGGGACCTCATTCTGCCACTGACGCGGAGGGATTCAATTGGTTCATATATGGCACAGAGTGCAGGTGAGGACCTCTGATCCAGATGTTAACTGTTGACTCATTCCAACGCGTGCCGTATTCATTATAAGTAGGTGTCATTCTTGATTTTGAGACAATGTGCAATCTAGGCCATGTTTAGAACCACGAGAACAACAAACAACAAAGCCTTCCTGAATAGAGGACACATAATGTCATTAGCAGCAAACATCAGAGCATTACACATGTAAATGTTTTTAAGCTTGCATTACTGTGTAGTTACTCAAGATGTCTCTGTGTTCATGTGATCTGTTATCAGGTAATCCCCGACATGTTCTCTATATATGTGGTGTTTCGGTTTGTCACAAAACTCCAGTCCAGACCACCACACTGACCATTCACATGCTAGCCACAGTTGTCACAGTCCCCCATTCATCCACCACCAGGAATCAGGTGACTGACTACAAAGAGTCATTGGTGTGATAAGATTTTACCAGTATAATGCGGTAGCAGAAACAGGAGACTAGTAAAAGAACATCAACTGAGATTGTTCTTTAATCCAGGGCCATGAGGATAAAGTACTTGTGAACCAACAAAAGTAATTGTGTTGTATTAACCTTGCGCTGCAAAGGGTCACTATCCATTTTATCACAGACAATCATATCATTCTATTATAATCTTTATTTTAAAGGTCCAATGCAGCCATTTTTATCTCAATATCAAATCACTTTTGGGTTACAATTAAGTACCTCACTGTAATTATTTTCATTTAAAATGGTAAAAAAAAAAGTATATTCAGCAAAGGTTTTGCTAGGACTGTCTGAGAGTGGTCTGAGTCAGGAGGGGAAAACTGAAAACTAGCTGTTATTGGCAGGCAGGTTTGGAACTATTTTTCTTATTGGTCTATTAACTAATTTAATTAACTGTCTGGTGATGTCACCTGGCATGCCAAATCTCCATCACACCAAAACAGGCAGACATTTCAGGCAGTCTTTTCAAACAGCTCTTACTCTAAAAGGACATTATCATAACTTTCACAATTTCAGAGTATTATTCCAACCTCATAGTGTGGAAATATACATAAAACACAGTAAAATCACATGTTTGACTGCACTGGGCCTTTAGTAAAAATCTTAATCTTACTAAAAAATACAAGCCAGAACAAGTGAATAGACTTAATATCTTTATTGTAAAAAAGGAAAAAATCTGTACAAAAAATTCATGTAGAAAGTTCACAATAAAAAAAAAATGTCAAAAACAGCAAATTTTCACTGCATGAAACTGAGATTGAGATTCCCCCCAAAATGCGGAGCTACTTTACAGTAGCGCCGTCCCTCTGTGAGGGAGTGTATTGGAGAACGGGACCACAAGAAGTCACATAGTCGCCACCGGAGGTGGACCACGCCACAGCACACACCAGGATGTCATGAGGCTGTCACAGGAAATTAACTACACGTGCTCAGAACGCTATGGGGACACCCAGTTGCCCACAGAAAAAAGTGGTTGGGTATTCTCGCAGGTTCTTTGCTCACAGGTATAATGACATTGCAAAAAGGGGCTAAAACAAATGTATAACCTGAAGTGAAAACAAAGCAGACTGCAGTAATGTTAAGGCCTTATAAGTGATACAGTATGGCAACACAGAAAATAGGATGATCACAGTTGTATCCATCAGAACGTCTATTTCAGGTTTACAAAGCAAGTTGGGACTGTGTCAACCTCTTGGGTTCAAGGTTAAACTGTTGGCTATAGTGAAGGCTCAGTTTCTCCCACTTGACATGCAAACGTTCTCAACCGATTTCATTATTGTTGTGACCTCCTTCTAGACATTTAGACACACTTTGTAATGCTTTGTAATGATAGGGAGAGTTGTTGGTTTACAAAAATGGTTTGTGTTTCTTAAAAGGCCTGCTTTCCTGGACGCTTTTAAATAAAACGTTGTGTACAAAATGGCTATGGAAACAGTCATACAACACCACTTTTAAATGGAATGCCTTTGCAAAGACAGATATCAACGCTCTAACACAGTTGACGGTTCACCCTTCGTGTAACTGGGGATGAACTGACTTTGGTCAAGTTAGTACAGTCTATTGTCAGATATTTATCTCTAAGCTTTTTCAATCCTCATTTTATGGGTTCTTGGCTTTCAAATACATTTTGAATATTTTTTTTATTAGGAATGAAAATAAAAAATAACTTATTTCACACAAAAAAAGTAAATATAAATTGTATTTTTGAAAACGAAACAAAATGCTACAAAATGTGGTTACCGTCAAAATAAATTAAGGTCTTCAGTTTCTTCTCCCAAACTACAATACATGTATCATACAATTGAGGGGCAATTTTATCATCATTTAATCATCTTTAGTAATCATGAAAAGATAAACATCCAAATCATGTTTTAACCAGAAATCCTGTCTCAAATCCACTGGATTTAAATACACTAACTGCTTCCAACTGTTGGTCCAAAGACAAAAAAGATTTCAAACACAAACAGAGAACTTACAATTTAAGTACTTTTAAAGCTAATTGAATCTCATCCAATGACAACAGGTCTTCAGACAGAGAAATAGCCATGATGGCTTATTACTGGCTCCTCCTATCCACCTCCAAACCATGCTATCACCTCCCAAAACAAATATATACTAACAATTTAACACTGGTAATTATAGTGGGATTGTCCGACAGTGCTACAGCTCAACTCAGAGCCTCCAATAAAGGTGATGGTCTGGTAACTGGCTCATATAGTGTTCAGTCCCAGTGTGTGTGTGTGTGTGTGTGTGTGTGTGTGCGTAAGGAATGTGTGTGTGTGGGTGTCAACCTCTGCTCCATCCAGGGTCCCACACACCAACCACTGATTGTCCTGGTGATAGAGTAGGCCATTTTGGAGGGAGCGACAGAAAGGCACAGAAATGACAATTAAATGTATTCAGATTTGAAGGGAAGAGTAGCATACATATGAATTTATATACACCACTACACTCAAAAAAAGGTGCTATCTAGAACCTAAAAGGGTTCTTCGGCTGTCCCCATAGGAGAACCCTTTGAAGAACCCTTTTTGGTTCCAGGTAGAACCCTTTTGGTTCCAGGTAGAACCCTTTTGGGTTCCATGTAGAACCCTTTCCACAGAAGGTTCTACATGGAACCCAAAAGGGTTCTACCTGGAACCAAAAAGGGTTCTACCTTGAAACAAAAAGGGTGCTCCTATGGGGACAGCCGAAGAACCCTTTTGGAACCATTTTTTCTAAGAGTGTACTGGCATTTTTTACCAAGTCAAGTTGGTCCTGTCTGAAACTATTGTCTGACCTCTTGGAGTGAGGAAACATCCTAGTGCTAGACAGTAATGATTGTATGGCGCAAGTGTGGCTCTACAGCAGATCCCATATAGTATATTGCTATAACTTATCTCAGCAGTAAGCTTGGCTCATCCAGCGATTTAAACTGATTATTATTCAGGCCATAGTGTGACTTACAGGGGATTCTACACAGGCCCCTCAGTACCCGCATCAAGCCATGCTGTCGAGCAGTTGAATTGCTCATTCTACCATGACCTCAATTGGAAGAAGTTGTACACACACATTCAGGAGCCATAGCCTCTTCACCAAGTAAAGCCCTCGCATCGCCACCACACCCAACACGGCATCAGTGTGCTTCACAGTTTACAAGGAAGGATAGGAGCACACACAAGCCCAGGAGACCAACCTGTGTCAGAATGCTATATCAAGAGCTGTCCCAAAGAGAGATTGAAAAAAATATCTATATATACAAGATGTACAAAAGAGACAAAACAAAAGGGGTTTGTCCGTTCCAGCGGACTGAGTCCATTCTGAAGCAGTCTGTGATTGGTCCAGTAGGGAGCTCCGGCGCGTCCAATCCCTATCCAGAGTCAGTCTATCTCAGTCGGTACAGAGTGCTAAGGGTATCCAAGAGGAAGTTGAGGACTCCTAGACACAGGCCTCTCAAGTCCTGCCGTTGGGGGATGCCACCCTGAGAGAGAGAGAGAAAGAAATAGGGAGAGAAGGAGAGAGAGGGAAATTAGTCCTCAGCCCCAAAACAATTGTGTATTTTACTGTTGGCCTTTCAGTCTTGATGCTTGTTCAAATGAACATTTGTGGACAAAGACACCTTGGCAAACCATGGATATAATGAAGAGTCTGACTATGAGACAGTACATAAGGGATAGAGGTTACATTGTTGATGATTGCAGTGTAACACTACACAGACGTAAGTGACCTAATTCTGGACAACACTGAATTGACTTAGCTCTCAAGATCTATTTAGAATAGCTTGGGTTTTTACAAACATCCGCAATTTCACCAAGAGATTCATTTACAAATGCCATTGGATAGCATCCACTGTCCCCTGCTTTAAGAGAAAGTCACAACATCATATCACTATGATATAGGCTATGTGCAACCACTACTACACAGTTTTATACTTTCTAGATTCTATCCCTTACTGGAACCACTGAGCTTTTATCGCGTGTGAGTCTGTGAGTACGTCTGTGTGTGTCTGTGTGTGTATCTGTGTGTGTATCTTTGTGTGTCTGTGTGTGTATCTTTGTGTGTCTGTGTGTGTATCTTTGTGTGTCTGTGTGTGTATCTTTGTGTGTCTGTGTGTGTATCTGTGTGTGTCTGTGTGTGTATCTGTGTGTGTATCTGTGTGTGTCTGTGTGTGTATCTTTGTGTGTCTGTGTGTGTATCTGTGTGTGTCTGTGTGTGTATCTGTGTGTGTCTGTGTGTGTATCTTTGTGTGTCTGTGTGTGTATCTTTGTGTGTCTGTGTGTGTATCTTTGTGTGTCTGTGTGTGTATCTTTGTGTGTCTGTGTGTGTCTGTGTGTGTATCTTTGTGTGTCTGTGTGTGTATCTTTGTGTGTCTGTGTGTGTATTTTTGTGTGTCTGTGTGTGTATCTTTGTGTGTCTGTGTGTGTATCTTTGTGTGTCTGTGTGTGTATCTTTGTGTGTCTGTGTGTGTATCTTTGTGTGTCTGTGTGTGTATCTTTGTGTGTCTGTGTGTGTATCTTTGTGTGTCTGTGTGTGTATCTTTGTGTGTCTGTGTGTGTATCTGTGTGTGTCTGTGTGTGTATCTGTGTGTGTCTGTGTGTGTATCTGTGTGTGTCTGTGTGTGTATCTTTGTGTGTCTGTGTGTGTATCTTTGTGTGTCTGTGTGTGTATCTTTGTGTGTCTGTGTGTGTATCTTTGTGTGTCTGTGTGTGTATCTTTGTGTGTCTGTGTGTGTATCTGTGTGTGTCTGTGTGTGTATCTTTGTGTGTCTGTGTGTGTATCTTTGTGTGTCTTGTGTGTCTGTGTGTGTATCTTTGTGTGTCTGTGTGTGTATCTTTGTGTATCTGTGTGTGTCTGTGTGTGTATCTTTGTGTGTCTGTGTATATGTGGTGCACCTGGGTGGAGTGAGGCAGTCCCAAAAAGACACTCCCTGCTAAACAGAGCCAGGAGAGGCGACACATCGCCCGTCAACAGCTGCTTTGAGTCACTCAGTAAAAAATAACCCAGCTCTTTAGTAAGAGAGAGAGAGGTGAAAAACAGAAAATGAGAGAGTGAGAGAGAGTGTGTGTGAATGTGGGAACGAGACAGAGAGAAGTAGTAAAAACCAGACACTGACAGACAGAGAGATGCTAGCAGAGAGCTTAAAATACACAAAGAAAGAGAGGGAGAGAGTTACAGCTCAGACTCAGAGAGAGGGAGAAAGAGAGGAGAGATTGAGAGGTGGGGAGAGAGAAAAATAGAGTAGGGGAGGACACAGGGTAAGGGAAGATAGAGAACAACTGACCATACCGAGAGAGAGGGGCACAGTAGGGGAGGGAGGTCACAAGACAAGATACAGGAAAAAAAAGCTCTGAACAAGAGAAACAGTAGAGTGGTGGTGAGTGAGTGTGAGTGTGTGAGTGCGCGTGTAGTGTGTGAGTGAGTGTGTGAGTGCGCGTGTAGTGGACTATGAGCCTCACGTGCCTGTGGTTTAGTCACCCTTCCCCAACCCCCACCCCCCCCAAGCAGCCCTTTTGTTGTTACTCGTGCTAAGGAAGTCCTTTTAGCTAGCCTCACTGTAAACAACGTTTCCCAAAATCCCCTGTCCTTCCACTGATACCAGACAGTAGGGCAAGAGACAGTTTAACGAGGGCACACAATACATTGCCAACCTGCTCCACAGACCAAGGGCTTTATTATACTGTAATAAAGTTTATTGTGTGTGTGTGTGTGTGTGTGTGTGTGTGTGTGTGTGTGTGCGTGCGTGCGTGCGTGTGCGAGCGTTTGTGTTTGTGTCTGCGTCTATGTGTGTGCGCGTAGTTAATGTCGGCTCAGCAGTGGCATCCGTGTGAGTGAGTGAGCGCTGGAGTAGGGTGACGTCAGCTGTGTTTGTCAGCAGAGGGGGAGGCAGGTTGCCGGGGGGAGGGGGAGATTAGCCTGTGTTTACTCCTGCGGCTGCCTCACTGACTGCCTCCTCACGCGATACAGCCCAGCAGAGAACACAGAGGGAGGGGGGGGCAGCTGGAAACTCAACTTCAGTCACAACACTCCCAGCTCATGGATATCATATTGATCCATTTACACCACTGGCACATGCACACATGCTCAATCATGCACACACACACTCATCTACTCACATTTACACACACACACTGACTTACACATGCACATTTAAATTGAAAACACCTCTACACATTTATCAGAACACACCAAACAATACATCTCATAAATAGATCATTCATCCTTACCATTCTCTGGAGGATCGTAGCGTTCAAGTCGTCGCCGATTCTCTTGAGCTGGTTGGCCAGTCTTTCCACCACCTCGTTGTCCAACCGCGGGTCTGCTACTCCAGGGGCTCTGTGCTGGGGAGAATCCTGGGGAGAGCGCTCTCTCTGGGGCAGCAGGTCAGGCAGGGGATCCCTGGCTGTGGTGTCCTGGTGCTCTATGTCTGGGTCTGGGGAGAAAAAACAACACATGTGCCATTACTGCCTCTGGCAGACAGCTGGACCTCCATAGCCCACCACGACCATCTCTGAAAGACAACATCAACTAGCCTATATCAAAGGCAGCACAGACCAGGCTGAATCAGGTCAAGTTTTGGTAGGAGGCAGATTGTGGATAGCCTGCCGGCACATAAAACATGTCTCCTGTATATTGTTGTTTGTCTAGCAACAAAATGTTTTATCCAAAACATCCCCTCCGTCACCCCAAAATGTGATGCCCTCCGTCCTCACTTCTCTGGCTCCATAAGAGTCTTAGGTGTAGGTGTCTAGAAACAAGCATGGTTGTCTGGTCTAAACCATATAGGCTACACTCTTAATGGTGGCTAGGCTGCTTAGCAACACAGACCCATTGTTTACTGGGTAAACATGTGCCCCCCCCCCCCCACACCCACCCTCTGCCCCCCAAAGCACCCATCTTTTGAAAGTCAAACTCACAATGCATACCCCCCCACCTCCCTCCACCACCCCTGTCAGACTGTTCAGACTAGTCTTGAATACTTTTTTAAATCTTGGGGGTTGCCGCCGTCAACCCCGTATTTTCCCCTTCAAAGATAGAATGTAATCTCTTAATCTGCTTAATAAATCTAGAATACTTGTGTTTGTGTATTACAGTGTTTGTTAGGAGGAACTCCTGTCTACTCTGTACAGATTCAGAAGAGGACAAGAAAGCCTATTTGCATGGAGGTGATAAAAATGCATCGTATTACCCTCTGATACTGCAACGCAAACCGACGACACTGAAAGTACTGTGCGCATCACTGTCACTACCGACTGTGGTCGAGAAAATACATTTAAATCAAATCAAGTCAAGTTTATTTGTCATATGCACAGGATACATGTGGTGTACACAGTACAATTAAATGCTTCAGTGACCGTTTACAAACTGTTGCGTTGTGTCAAGATTCAAAGACACTTCAAATTAAGTGGAAGAAAAAAGCTCTCTGCATCCTATTCGACATACCACATACCAATTAGGATCTGGCTAAAAATACTTGAATCAGTTATAGAACCCATTGCCCTTTATGGTTGTGAGGTCTCAGGTCCGCTCACCAACCAAGAATTCACCAAATGGGACAAACACCAAATTGAGACTCTGCATGCAGAAATCTACACAAATATCCTCTGTGTACAACGTAAAACACCAAATAATGCATGCAGAGCAGAATTAGGCCGATACCCGCTAATTACCAAAATCCAGAAAAGAGCTGTTAAATTCTACAACCACCTAAAAGGAAGCGATTCCCAAACCTTCCATAACAAAGCCATCACCTACAGAGATGAACCTGGAGACGAGTCCCCTAAGCAAGCTGGTCCTGGGGCTCTGTTCACAAACACAAACAGACCCCACAGAGCCCCAGGACAGCAACACAATTAGACCCAACCAAATCATGAGAAAACAAAAAGATAATTACTTGACACATTGGAAAGAATTTACACAAAAAAACTGAGCAAACTAGAATGCTATTTGGCCCTAAACAGAGAGTACACTGTGGCAAAATACCTGACCACAGTGACTGACACAAAATTAAGGGAATCTTTGACTATGTACAGACTCAGTGAGCATAGCCTTGCTATTGAGAAAGGCCGCCGTAGGCAGACCTGGCTCTCAAAAGAAGACAGGCTATGTGCACACTGCCCACAAAATGAGGTGGAAACTGAGCTGCACTTCCTAACTTCCTGCCAAATATATGACCATATTAGAGACACATACTTCCCTCATATTACACAGACCCACAAGGAATTCGAAAACAAATCCAATTTAGATAAACTCCCATATCTATTGGGTGAAATCACAGCAGCAAGATTTGTGACCTGTTGCCACAAGAAAAGGGCAACCGGTGAAGAACAATATTTATGTTGATATATTTTCCTTTTTGTACTTTAACTATTTGCACATCATTACAAAGCTGTTTATAGACACAATGGCACTTGCATGGGTTTATTATTTTTGAACTTTTGTGAGTAAACTGTTTACTGTTACATTTTTTAATTGTTTAATTCACGTTTGTTTATCATCTATTTCACTTGCTTTGGCAATGTAAACATATGTTTCCCATGCCCATAAAGCCCCTTAAATTGAAATTTAATTGAGGGAGACAGACAGCGAAAGAGAGAGAGAGAGAGAGAGAGAGAGAGAGAATGGAGAGGAACTATTGCTTGTTGCCAGGGTAACTATAAGATGGTGCTCCCAGAGATGGAATCAAGCCATTGGCGGACGGATTCAGGGGCTAGGCTGGGATAGGGTGGACAGGCTGGGGGGCGGGCTGGGACCAGTCTGCCCGGGGGCTGGGGAAGAAGCAGTGAGAGCCAGAGACCGCAAAGGCAGGAAACACAAGGAAGGGGAGTGGTTAAAAGAGGGATTACAGAGGAAACAGAACTGGTCAAGTAGAACCAGCGGCGGGTCTAACGGAAGGAAACGGGGAGAGAAAGGGTAGGTTATACCTCTAACCAGGGAGTGGAGCAGATTGCTTTCTCTATGGGAAGTCATGAGCAGGGGACAAGTCTCGACATGCCCCAGCCACAGCGTTTGACTTACAGCCAGAAAGAGAGAGAGTGCCAGAGAAAGATACTATTCCAAACTATTCCTTTCAGTTGCATAGCCACGTGCTCAAAATGCTTCCCTCGCCTCCTAAGTAACTCCATAGCCCCAAGACCAAAGCCTGCAGCCCTAAAATCCTCACATGCACAGCAACACCACACCAGTACCACATAGCCTAATCCACACTTACCATTGCAATAAATTACCGTGACAATACCCCACATACTGTAGCTTGTTTCCGTCAAAACATAGGCTAAACTTTTCACTCCTGTCAATGACCGTGAAGCTCCTATTTGAGATGCAATACTCTGACAGCTTTCTTCCAGGCCCCTCCCCTCATTGGTTCCCATCTCAATTGTTTAGAGGTTTGTTTACTCTTTCCACAAGCATGGACACACCAGATCAAACTGAGTTCATAAAACAGCAGCAAATGTATAACATTCGGTTGAAAGCTTTCTATCTGGGGTCCATGCCATTGCCAGGGGCAAGCTTCTTAGTTAGCAAGTTCATACTAAAGGCAATCTAGGTAAAGCATCAATAGGTTTAGGCTATATAAGGGAGGATGCTTAAAGGCCGCATTTTCTGCACTGCTTGATATTTACATCCTACAGTGATGACAACGGTTTTATGACTACTAGCCTACCCATTTCTACTTGGTGGAAAATTAACAGATGAGGAACTTCACTTAGATGTACAAGCATTAACGAGTTTTACAAGTATAATAACAATCACATTGAAGTCTATTGCTTCATATTCAAAATGCATTTCTATTTCATCAACTTTCCTTTTCAATCGACTCACACATTCCATCACACAGTTGAGTGGGGAACTTTCCCATCCAATGCCACTGCACTGGCATGTGAGCATGATGTCCTTTTGATGTTAGTATTTCCTCATAGCAGTAAGCTATTCACAGCTACCACTTGTAATCCTATTCTAACATGACCATGGTTTCTGCCTCAGTGGCTTACCATTTAGGCCTATGCCTAAGAACTCTGTATTAGCAGCAACACACACTACATGAAACATCACAGTATCCAGCAACTAGTAGTAATAACCTACCTGTGCTTGCTCTTCTGGGGCTGTCCAGTGGATGGGCACTGGCGGGTGGGAAGGCTTCTCTCTGGGGCTGGGGGGGCGGAGAGTCCTGCCTGGGCTGGATGTCCATGTTGGGGAGCAGTTGGCAGGACTGGCGGTGTGCAGCCTGGAGAGGGTGGTTGCTGCCACCAGGCCAGGTGTCTGGCCGCTGGACCTCCATGCGGCAGGTGTGTTGTCTGCCCCGGCCATGGCGGTCCACTCCACTCTCCATATGGGGGCGGGCCATACCAGGTGCACTCTGTTGATGTTTACAAATGAATAGCAAAATTGTAATAGACGATGACTGATTGCCCCTTTTACAAACTGTTGTCACCTGGTGGATATTGGGGAACTTTTTACTATGAGCGGTGTATGTTTGTGTGTAAAGGCATGCAAACAAGCCTTAAGATAAGGCATCAACATTCTAAATCAGGGGTGTCAAACTCATTTTAGCTCAGGGGCCACATGGAGGAAAATCTATTCCCAAGTGGGCCGGACCGGTAAAATCATGGTATATATAACTTAAAAACAACAACTTCAGATTGTTTTCTTTGTTTTAATACGATCAACATAAAACATAAAGCTGGAGCCTAAGGACAGTGTGTCCAAAATAGTACAAGCACAACATCACTATTAATCATAAAACACCTCAAGTTTATTTGAACATTCTAAAGAAAAAGAACACACAAACACACAATGCCTCAGTGATTCACAGAACTGTTTCACAGATCACAGAACTATATCAGGGTGTCATTTCTCAGGCAGAAATGTAGATAAAAATAATGAAATCATGTTCCCCAAACAAGTGCAAGAACCACAGAGTCAAGAATAGGTTAAATATACAAATAAAATAAAATCAATTAAAAACGATAGCACATCAACATAAAAACATATAAACATAAAGCTGGAGCCTGAGGACAGTGTGTCCAAAAGCACAACATCACTATTAATCATAAAACACCTCAAGTTATTTGAAAGTTCTGAGGACAAAGAACACACAAACACACAATGCCTCAGTGATTCACAGAAGTATATCACAGATCACAGAACTATATCAGGGTGTCTCATGCAGCACTTTAAGTGGGGTTGCATAGTTTATTTGACTCCTGATACCTGGCATCTTTTAGCTTTCACCAGCGCATCAATATCAGGCGTCACATCCTGAGTGGCAGCCAACTTCAGGATGTGATTCAAGTGCTTGTGCGTGAGCCTTGAGTGCAGCTTTGTTTTATTTATGCTCATTACAGAGAAAACTTGCTCACAAAGATATGTGGTTCCAAACATGCACAACAGTTTTGCAGCGAGGGCTGTCAAGTTGGGGTAACCTGGCAAGAGATTCTGATAAAATATGTCCAAGCCAGCTGCGGCAAATTTGCCCTTCAAATCCGAGTCACACTGCAAGTCTATTATTTCAAGTTGGATGCTGACGGGCAGATCAGAGGGATTCACGGTGAATGGCGAGCAAAAAACGTTGAAGTCTTTCTCCAGTTCACCAAAAATCTGAAAGCGTTGCTCAAACTCCCGTAACAGTCCCGTTATTTTATCTTTGAACCGCTTCATGTCTGCCACATGTTGGGTCGCGCACACATTTTTCAGACAGGGGAAGTGAGCTGCATCACCACCGGCGAGTTGCGTCTCCCACAATGACACCTTCAACTTGAAAGAACGTATGCTGTCATAATACTGCGTGACAACTTTGTTGCGCCCTTGCAGCTGTTTGTTCAAGTTATTCAGGTGCTCTGTAACATCCACCATAAATGCAAGGTCCTGCATCCATTCTGTGGAATGAAATTCTAACACTGGTTTGCCCTTTTCTTCCATGAACTGTTCAATTTCTTCTCGTAAATCAAAGAAACGCCTCAGCACAGCACCTCGGCTTAACCATCTTACCTCAGTGTGGTATGGCAGGCCATAGATGTGGTCTTTCTCTCTGAGAAGGCTGTCAAACTGACGGTGATTCAGGCTTCTGGATCGGATTAAATTAACAGTTTGGATGACCACCTTCATGACGTTATCCATCTTTAATGACTTACAACACAAAGCCTCCTGGTGCAAAATACAGTGAAAAGTCCAAAAATCACGTCCTCCATTTGCAGATTGCACTTTCTCTCTGAACTTTGTCACAACGCCTGCTTTTTTCCCTATCATTGAGGGCGCACCATCTGTAGCCAGGCTGACAGTGCGGGACCAGTCCACTCCGACTCTGTCCAGCGCGCCGACGAGTGCGGTGAAAATATCAGCTGCTGGTCCGTTGTATCTGTCATCGGCACCAACTCCACAAAACTCCTCGGTGACGGTCAATGTGTCATCAACTCCGCGGATGAAAATGGCCAGTTTGTGCAACATCTGTAATGTCCGTGCTTTCATCAATGCAACCGAAAACGCAACAAATGACTTTACTTTTGCTTCAAACTGGCTGTCCCAAAATCCACTGAAAGATCGGAAATCCTGTCTGCAACTGTGTTTCTTGTCAGGCTGATATTTACAAAAGCCTGACGCTTTTCAGGGCACACAATCTCCGCTGCCTTCATCATGCATGTTTTTACAAATTCACCCTCACTAAAGGGTTTTGAAGCCACTGCGATTTCATTAGCAATGAGGTAGCTAGCTTTCACTTGCAGCGTCACTGATGTCTCGGCTGTGAGTAAACACAGACTGCTGTTTCTTTTTACATTTACATTTTTAGTCATTTAGCAGACGCTCTTATCCAGCAATGAGGTAGCTAGCTTTCACTTGCAGCGTCACTGATGTCTCGGCTGTGAGTAAACACAGACTGCTGTTTCTTCAGACCCGCCAACAGTTCATTCACCTTCTCTCTTCTCCGCTGTCCTTGAAAGTTGTCATATTTGTCAGCATGAAGACTCACATAGTGGCGACGAAGGTTATATTCTTTCAGCACTGCAACATGCTGTGAACACACCAAACATACAGCTTTCCCATTCAATTCCGTGAATAAATAGGAGGATGACCATTTTTCTTGGAACACTCTGCACTCTGCGTCCACTTTTCTCTTTTCTGACAGAGACATATTGGGGCAATGAGGGTGCCAAAGCACATAATGTTAAAAGTAGAAGCCGTAATAAATATCGCGGGCAAAACAAAGTAGCTCATCCGGACTGGCTGCACTTGCTTGACCTACTTGCTCTGCCCCGGTATAAACAGTTTGCTTGCTTAACACAATTGCTATTGCGCCATCCAGTGGACACAATTGGAACAGCAGTTTATTTTATTGAAAAATTGCAGCTCATTTTTATACTTTACAAAATCATCTCGCAGGCCGGATTAAACCCGTTTGCGGGCCTGCTCGCGTCCCAACGTAAATAGCGTAGCCGGCAATACACTCCTATGGCAAATGTGTTGTGTACAATGTTCAGCTAATCAGGTTGCACCTGTCCGTCCAGAAGTAGCTAGCCACCCTAGCATAGTGGTGGAAAATTGTGTTTTATTAAGACAGTATACATATTTTTCCAGGGGGAAGTTCAGCGGCCCCCCATTAAATCGAGTTGAGGAAACCGACGCCTTTGCAGCCTGTTAAGGGGATGTTTATGTGGGGGACATGAGTGTATTACCAGCTGGGCTGACTGCATTGACTAGAGGTAATACCAATGATTCATTTATACACTAGATGACTGATAGGGGTCGCTGTGTTGAAGCCACCATGACTGCATCTTGGCACACCCCCACCATTGTAAAATACATTTTGGAAGCTATAGAAATGCATTTTTTAATGTCTACATTAGTTTTTACCACATTTATTCTATTACAGACACCTTAATGCATAATTTAAATTATATTATGTGAGCTAAACATACAAATGAAAAAATGAATACAATAATTTTCCTTAAAGTATAATTATTTCAGATTACTAATGTTACTGGCCCCACTACAACAAAAAATACTTAAATACATGTAATTTTGTTCTTGAAGCATTTAATTGAAATACTGTAGAATTCAATTCATTCCTATGGAGGACTGTGAATACCATGGATGCCAAGGGAAGACAGGCCAAAACATTTACCAAGAAAAAAAGAAAACAAACATCTCTCTGTTTTCATAATTTTCCTTCAATTCGCAAGAGGCTGACTGTTTCTCACCAGAGAAAGCATCCCACCAGAGAAAGCATCCGAGCGAGTGAAACAGCGCCCCTCTGTCTCTGTATGTGTTGGCCATCTATCTGATTCTGTCTGGTCATAAAGAGTATAACATTGTTATAGAGAAAACAACGCAATTATCACAACACATAGGTTTTAATAAATGATGGGGGGGTTTTCTGACTTGGCTTCACCAGTGATTTTACCCATGCACCGCTACTGATCGAGGCCTGCTCCTACTGGGGAGTGCCAATATGGCCGACCGGTGGCTTCAAAGCCTCTCAATGACCAATACATAGCATCAACAATTCAGGGTTTATATGCATCATTGGGTATTACACCAAGTCATGAAGAACTATGCCCTAGGGGTCTCGGTGCTAGGGTCATTCATAATGCAGAGCTGGAAATTCCTCAGAACCAAATATCTAGCAAAATGTTACATTAAATTGGGTTTAAAGGTAGAAGCTTAAAATTCCTTGTTCCACGGGAAATATAGGTTGCCTTAGCATATGTATGTATGTTTTCAAACAGTGACCCAAGGGTGGGCTACCTTTCAAAAAATTGTTTTTTTCACTCCCCCCTCGACAGACAGTTTGACCTACCAACTCATATGTTATGTGGCCGCTAGATGGCAGCCACTACGCCCTCGTGCGCGCGAGGGATGTTTATAAACAAATATACAGCCAAGCCAGCAGCCGATTGACACGCGCTCCTTCCCACCACAGCAGCGCGCCAAACTCTGTCAGTAGTAACACAATACATTTTTTGTCCGCTTGTCATCCCCACTATTGCAATGCTTGATTTAATTTTTTTGCTCAAGCAAAACATTTATTTACGTTGCAACACACTGATCGAATCATTCCTATCCGACTCAAAATACATAAAACGTTTCACATGGAAATTATGAAGTATGGAAAAGAAACATTGAAGGTGGATTGTGATTGCGCAGGAGAAACAGTTCCACGCAACAATGGTCTGCCTCGGTCTCAACTTGTTGAAATACTGCCTTTGACTGTCATGTAATTGATGATGAAAAAGACGCTCAACATGAAATAAAACATACGAGAATTCCATATCTCTAAGTTGAACATGGAAATGCATCACTGGGCTTCTGTCATATGTAATCTTATCTGTTCCTCTCCTCCACAAAACCACTAAAGTTCACACA